CCACTTCCATAACCACCTGCATGTCTATTATGCTCTTTTGCCATTCTCCACCTGTCTGGCCTTTCTTCATCCTGGTCATCTGACTCCCACATCACCATGTCACCATGATTGGAAGCAGGGTTTAAAATACTGAGGTTGGTTCTGGGATTTGAAAATGTTTTGATTTTCTTGATCTAAATATTAGCCTTTCAAGATGTTTGTACAAAAATCGGATAACATTATCTTTCAAACGACGTCAATGCACTTTTGGGACGACTGTGGCTAAGTGGATAGCAGGGCCGTCCTTCAATCAGAGGGTCGGCCGTTCGATCCCCGGCTCCGGCTCTGCTAGTCGCATGTCAATGTATCCTTGAGCAAGACACTTAACCCCAAAATTGCTCCCGTAGCTGTGCCTACGGTGTAGAAATAATATAGAATCTGAATTGTAAGTCGCTTTGGATAAAAATGACTGTAATGTAATGTAATGTAATTTTGTGTCAAGCAGTCATACAGAATGAGTTAGAATATTGCAATGAATGATCCACAATACAATCTGAAAATAAATACAGAAGAGGCTAGAATGATTGCAAAACATCTGAGAATGAATGTTGACAATGTTTAATTAAAGTAAAGTAAATGTATACTCTCACATTCACATGCTCTCTCACCCTCTGTATTCACTGCCTGTCCTTTTCTCTGTGACTCCTCACTTTTCTTTCCTGCCAACGTGTATTAAAAATGATTTACTAAAATTATAAATTTGCATCTATATGCAATATATTTATACAACAATACTATATTATTACTTCATAATTATGCTATGTGTTTGTGTTGTTAAGTCGAGTCTATAGGGTCAGCGATATAAACCAAACAACCTATATTATGTACAGCATTTTGCTAATTCTGTCCCGGGCACAGTGGGCAGTACCTGCTCTTCCTCTCTGATCTCCATCATCTTCTCTCTTTCTTTTTCTCTCAGTCTCGTCAGCTTGTCCTGTATGTATTCCTTCTCCAAAGCTGAGCTTTGATGACAGAAAGAAAGCAAACACATGTAGGCTATATAGGGGTGGAAGTGAAAATTATAAGTCGGCATCACTGGCTAATATTTAACGTAGTGCAACCAGCTATTGATAATGCCTAATACCATAATAAATGGCAACGAACTACATGCAGTACACTCTTAAAACTAAAATCGAATTACCTGAATCAGGCGTCGCATGGAATCAGCGGCCTGTATTCTCAAGTTGTTGACGTAATCAAAGAACCTCAGTGTTGAGTAAAGATTTTGTGTAACGATAAGATCATAAGCAATGACGCTGATCAGATGAGCTAGTCGTTGTACAATATCTTTGGTGCACCAATGTCAAGTTATCTTTAGTCAGCAAATGCAGAGGTCCGGAACACAGTGACCTCAATGGTGGGTATGGCCATGCATGTCAGTACTCATATCAGCATCCTTTCCCCAGTCAGTTGCACAATGTCAATAGGCGTTTTCAGAGAAACTTTTATAAGTTATAAGTTATAAGTTATAAGAACAGAAACCCCATTTTTATTAGGTTTAAGAACTAGGAATGATTATAGTTCTTAGAACTCTGTTTTGAAGGACTTTTTTAGCTCCTATTTCTGTACTCTTGCAGCACAAGAGGAACCATGAGTGACGTGAGAGTGTACAGTGATTAGTAGAACACATCAGCCAATGCAGACATTTGTAAAAACCTGTTAGCTGTGTTAACAATACAAAACACAAACAACAGCTTGTAACGAATAAAAATAGCCAAAAAAGCCGCTGCTCAGCGAGCTAACCCAGTAGCACAAAATGCAACCAGGAGCAGTGCCGCACCTGTGGCGCACTTGAGCAGAGGTGGGATCAGAAGGAATAAGGGGAGCTACATGTATTAAGTGATTCACAACTTGTCGTGGAGCTGTGTGAAATCCTTTTGCCTGTTGATGTGCAGAAGAAACCGTCTATAATAGCGATACTCCTTACCCAGACCGGTTGGAAGGAGGATTTTCTAACGCATTGCATTTCTACTTAAAACCTGTGGAGCTAACATTCGCAGACAATGTTAGCACATTGTTGCTAGTATTAGCATTTCTATGCTTTTCTAGCTACTTAAGGTATAGTGAACGTATAGGCATGCTGCTTTTGCTTTTTAATGATTGCAACATTGAATGAAGACCTACCCGACTTCACAGGAACAGTGTTGTTCCTGAATTTCAGTGTCTTCTGTTTCAATCGCCAGTAGTTCAATATTCAATATATTGAATATTGTAGCCAGTAGTTCAATATTATACTGTGATTCGTAGGCTTTAGCTTCTATCTTTATCTTTTCAAACAGTTTTCACTACTGAATCAGTATTGCATCCTAGATGTATCCCTTAAATATATTGTAGACTCTTCTGTTTACTTCTCTCTGAAATAGCTTTTTTGGTTTTTCTAAAGATTATTCATTCAGGGAATGCTGTTAGTGACAGTTTGGGCTCCATGTTAGCTCTGACAGCTTGACGGAGTAGTGGCGAGGGTCCGGGGCTGATAGTGAAGGGTCAATTATGATTTAACAGTGACATTATCTCCTCAGTTAAAGACTGCAGATGAAACAGATACCTGCTTTCCTCAGATTGCCAGTGTTAAGGAAAGGCCCTTGTATAGCAGCCTATACTTACTGTCATGACAGAAAAAGAGCCTTATTCTGCCGAGCTGGCATAAATGCCATTAACACTGGTTGAAAATTCAGCAAAAATCATGAATAAAGTTGTTGTGCTATGACAACAATTTACTAAATTACACATATTACCAAACTAATTCATGTTTTTGTTTATGCAGCTATAATGGCATCACTGGAAGGGGAAAAGGGAAAAACACTATCTACAGTCTATTTACCATTCAAATATTGTTTCTTAATGTACAATAACCATAAAACCAAAAACAAATCTTTTTCTGTATTATTCTGTAAATTTAAAGAATTACTTTATGAAACTGCCCTGTCTACCTACAGTGATGTGCTGTAAAATTGTAAAAAACAAACAAACAATGTATAACCACAGAATATTAACTTTTTAGTCATTTTAGCAATTGTAATGTGTAAAAATTTGAATTTGGCATGAAAGGAGCCAATGACCACAAAAGCTTAAGCTCTGAAATTTGATTCATTCGATATATCTTCCCTGCCAGGGTAGGGTAAAACCAAATATTAACTACATTTTAATTTGTAATAAATTATAAAATTGATGAGAATAATAACGAAAATATTATGTACACACTCAGCGCAATGTAGTTGAAAAAAACCCCAGCTTTGTCAGACCTCTAGTTTGGTTTTGTGGGCGACTGTTGCTAAGTGGAGAGCAGGGCCGGCCTTCAATCAGAGGATCGGTGGTTCGAGCTCCGGCTCCGCTAGTCGCATGTCGATGTGTCCTTGAGCAAGACACTTAAACCCAAAATTGCTCCTGTCGCTGTGCCTTCGGTGTGATAGGATCTGAATTGTAAGTCGCTTTGGATAAAAGCGTCTGCTTAATGTAAAGTAATGTTTTAGTTTAAAGTGAAAATACTTTTTTTTGAAAGTCTTTGTCTAGTTCTTACTTCTTTCAATACCAATTTTATAAAATCCCTTTCACCAAAAATAATTTTACATTGCACATATCAATACAAATATTTTTTGTTTTATTTTTCAGCCACATGGCAGTTTCATGACATAAACTTTATAACCACAATGGGTTTTAACTTAACTCAAGTCATTTGTTTTATGAATCAGCACCTTGGCATTTTTCCACTCTTTTACTTTTACAGCATGAAGAGTAAACCTATTTACCACAACTTGAAGTTGTCTGTTAACATAATAAAAATGTATAAAAGCCTAAATTCTACTCAGAATCTTCAGATTACCAGACGACATGCTCACCACACTGTCACCCCAACAAAATATAATGTGCAAAGGAATGAAATGCATAAGATAAAATGAATCAGTGCAAGTAGTTTTCAGTGCAAAACGGAAAGTTACAAGTCAGTGTCCAATGCTTACTGCTGCGTACTAAAGACTTTTACATGTCACAGAGGCTTCACTCATAAGTTCTTCAGAAAAAATTAACATGTGTGCTTTCTCAGGTAACAGACAAACTCGCTCCTGGCTGATAGTGTCCCCAGCAGTAGAAAATGTACGCTCTGAGGGTGTAGAGAATTTTCTCATGCAAAGGTCCGGAACATCACAGTAATGTCTAACTTGTGGTATGACTTAGTCCCATATATATTGAAGTAGCCTAGCAGCTGCATTAACGTCTGTATGTAGTCAACAACTGACTGTCAAATCAAATAAAGAAAGTTCAATTGAATAATATCTCAACAATATTTATTGTCAGTTCCAATTGAACTGTATTATAGATAATAGATACTCTAATAATACGTACATGTTCTTCTCTTGTTGCAAGTAAAATAAGGATACATTTAAGGATAAATTACATAACAGAAAGCTTTTGTAAAATGTGCATCTTAAAATAAAGTACTTCATTTTAGAAAGATTTATATAACTGAATTGCCCTGCAGCTTCAAATTGAGTTCATTCAGGTGTGAAGTGATGTTTTGTTTCATCTCTATTCTCCGCTCCATTAATGTGTTAGGATTCTGATCATATTGGGCTCCTAGATCATTTATTATCTGTGCCTTCATTTCGGATGTGAGTCGGTACTTTTGCTCAAAAGTGTTATGCTTTGTCTCGTAGTGGCGACAGAATGCAGTAGGTTCTTGCATAGATGACTCACCTTACAATTTTGTATGCTTTGTTGGACATTGGTGTCAATAGATTTAGCTTCAGACCCCCTTCTTAGTGAACCTTCACTAAGAAGGCAAAACATGTTGCTAAAGACACCAAATTAAGATTCTATACAGATTAGCATTGCTTTGAAGTGGATTGATTTACATAATGGACACATGCCTTTCAGTAAGTGTCTGCTTAAAGCTATATGATTAATGACAAACAATAAATTGTCAAATTAGACTCTTATACTGATGACTGTTTCTCTCCTGCTCCCAGGAAAACCCTGATTGGTCCAGAGCATTGAGCAGAAAGTGTGGACCTCTGTCCTTCCTCCAGCTTGGCACTATGGGATCATCCACATTGGGAAAGGCAGCATCTCTTGATGCTCTCTTAAATGAATGCATTCATGCATTTGGTAAGTAACATATGAATGAAATGCAAGCAAGGCTGGATTACCTATCTGAGACCCAAGGTTTACTGTGTGGCAATTCGTTTGTGGCGAATTGATTAAATTATTACTATGAACTGAAATGGAAGGGGCTTCACAGTGACCTTTCTATTTTTACCCAATATTGAAGCCCTGTCTGTGGAGGGGTCCTGGGTCAAACAAACGTTTAATAATTAATTTAATATTATGCTTACATCTTGCATATTTTTTGAGAAATTTGCCTTTAATCGACTTATAACCAAACCAAGTGCAACAGTGTGGTCCATTGATGAATGATGTTTCTTTTGGACAACAATAATGCAGAGGAATGAGATATATCTGGCATCAATTTATTGTTGATTGGGCCTTTTCATGGGATTTGTTGACAATAAAAAGATATAGAAAATGCCTTTAAGATAACATAGTTGTCTGTTAAGTTTAAATTTGATGACATTTTATGATTGACTTCTCTTTATAGATGACAATGGGGATCTGAAGGCCAACCTGCTTCCTCGCACCCTGCTGCTGATGCATCGCTGGTACATTAAGTCCTCAGAACTGGCGGGAAAACTACTGATGATATATCCCTTCCAGCAGAAACCCTGTAGGAACTACAGCTAATGCACATTAACACAGTGCTAATGCACATAAATACAGTTCTTTAATAATGAAATACTGCTGGCTATTGTATTTCAGTGTGTTGAAGGTATGTACTACTATAAATTGATACATTGAGATGAATTATTCCTCACCTCACAGGAAATCCAAGCTTAATCTCAAAATTAAGATAGCATAGCAGTTGATGTTTCATTTCATTTAAGTGACAGCCTTTCCCTCACCTTTTCTCTTGCTATAGTACTATAGTTAAATGTAAAATAAGCAGTATTGATCTGAATCAATGTCCTTGGAGCTGCTTTGTAAGTGCATAAGAACAATCTTACGTATTAGGTGCAGTTGGCTACTGTAAAGCACATGAGGAGCAACTTGGGGTTTAGTGTCTAACTCATGGACACTTTGAACCATAGATAAAGATATTAAAAAGAAAAAGATCAGACTAGTAACATCTTACATTCTAACTGTATCTAACGTTATATAAATATCTTTATATACAGAGTGATTGCATATAATGTAAAGATCTTTATTTACAGTTATACTGTAAGACCATAATATACTGACTAACTTTATAATACGATCTTTATTTAAAGTCTATGAATGAAACAGACAATCAAGGTTATGGAAAGTTAATGTTAATGTTACATCTCCTTTTAACTTTCCTACTCTATATACAATTCCTGTGCTTCCAGCTCCACGACTATTCCCTCTAGAACAGCTTTTTCTGATCTGATTCCCCTGTAAGCAGGACAACATCATTTGCCAATGCCTTCCAATGTAGTTACTAATCCCCGTTTAACATAAATCTGTTTTACCATGTGACAACACTATGGTGTTTGTTAGGTGTTTGTCACAAAACAAATAAATTAGATTCAAGGAAACATTATGGTTTGGGTTAAAATATGTATTTTGGTACATAAGGTCAGGGAAAGACTGTGAGTTAGGTAAAGTGACTACTTTGTTAAGTTTATGGAACAATCAAGGTCATTCTTTAAATCAAAATGTCTACTGTTGACTGTCATTTGAAGTCTGAAGTTTTAATTCAAATGATGACTTTGTGACTTTATAATAATCTCACATGACCTCCTTGCTTTTGCATGTTCTCCCAAAGTCTGCGTGTTTGTTCTCTGGGTGCTCCAAATTCCTCCCACAGTCCAAATTAATGTCCAACCATTTCTGAAGACAAAAGTATTTCTAACTTTTTTAAATGGCCACACTCAATGATGGGGTCAAAAGCTGCAGTCATAGAGACAAGAGAGACACAATGAGTCATACACATTTTCAACAGCATTCTTGGTGAGGTACTTGGTTGTACATACAAAAAGTGACAGAAGTAGATGTGTGAAGAATGACAAATAGAGAGCTTGAGAGAGAAGTTCAAACCATGCCTACTCTCACCTCCACAGATCTGGACAATTGCAGTTTAAAGTAGGTGTGATTGACAGATTGTTTCGGAAAAGGTTGGACAGTGACAAAGTATGATAAACCTTAGCCGAAATAACGTTCTCTCTTGCATAAGGATGTCGTTACACATGACTCTGCTATTTGAGGTGAGAACTTCCATCAATGTCGAATTAGGTCACTGCTGAGGAAATGCTGAGAGAAAGTTAGAGGCTCAGGCTGCTCATTAGCTTGTAGTCCATACAGTAGCAGCTGCACTGTCAGCTGAAGTGATCATGAACGATTCAGATTCATTCTTCATTGTCCTCTATAGAGGAAATGTGTTTACTTGTGACAAACTTCTATACACAATCACACTTTTAGAACAAGTAACACTCAAAAACAGGGTATGTTATATAACAACAGAGTGTGCCCAGGCTGGTTAAGGCTGTGATGGCTGATGCCACAAAATTTCTCCCAAAGTGTAGTTGTCTATATCTACAGCCAGAGGGGATGTCTGAGAGGCTAGTTTCCTGTTTGTCAGTTCTGTATATATAAACAATGATATAGCAGCAAACAGCTATTTGCTATGTAAAGATATAGTGGAGTAATGGCATCCTGAGCAGAGAATGAAGTCAAGCTTCTCTGTGCTTGGTTTTAGTAGCCAATAATTATGTTACATTGGTTGTGGTCACTCAATGAAGAAATACCTCCTTATCAAGCTGAATACCTTGCTATGTTACTAAAATAACGCAATCATAGCCAAGTTGTACATTATCTTGCTTGCATTGTGTACTTATCTTGTACCTTGAAGCTATTCACAAAAGCTTAACTGTATTCCCTTGTTTACTTCTGTGTGTCACATAACCTCGGGAGGGGAGGTGTGGCCGCCCATTTGTTTTGGTCTGAGGTGCTGGTTCTCTAGTGCGACATCTAGTGGTTTTGAATGTCATATATAGACCTTTCATAGCATGAAAATTATTTCCTTAATTCCTGATTTGTCATACATTGGAGTCTATTGATTTGTCAAATCTTGGAAAAAGTCCTTAACTGAACCCCACGTACCGTGACAGCAAAGGTGACGCCAACCAGAGAACCAGGCTGAAGATTTGTTATCTAATGAGGTAAGATTCTACATACACACTCATCCAAAACTAACACGTTCTACTTTGGATTACTCAGCCTCTGGCAAATCCAAACCCAAGCCTACAGAAAAGCCAATGCCACCTAACAATATTACCAGATTTTACGCCAATAGTGGCATAGTCGTTCAGAACGGGCCTTTGCTTGACTCGCGGTATTGTTGCTTGCAGCTTTGTCGGGGGTTCTGCCTTTTCAAAGCCTGTGGCCCATAGAAAAAGAATAGGGGTAGAATGACATTGAACTGTTTACTGTGGTCATTTGAGTAGTTCAAAAGAAAATGGCGATTGTTGTTAGTTGTTGGGGCTGTAAAGAGCTGAATTGATGATTCTGTTTAGGACAATTCACTTTCTTTCTTACTTATAAAAGGGACAGCCAGCATGGCAGGCCTACATGCACACAAACACGCTAGCCAATGTTGTTATTTTACATGCCACATTGGCATGAGTGGGTCCACAACTTGCCGCAAGTCGGTTTGTACGGATGTTAGCCTGCTTCAACCGCAACCGGTTTCAATGAAAGATACACCGCTCTGAATATCCTGCTTCGTTGATATGAATGCGAATGTCCGTTCTACTACCTACATACCTACTTACATACAAACATACATATTATCGATATACATACCGACCGACATGCCTAAATACATGGTTACCTATACCTTTATGCATACATACATCCATACAGTTTGGCAGTTTCAAGATTTCACACAGAGGACGAGGCAACAGTTAGATTTGGTCCTCGCAATGCTCATTGCCCGTGTCTTTTTAAATTTAACAATCAATATTTAGCTATTGTTTTAACACTGCTCTAGAGCCAGCTCACACAGGAGTTCCTTGGAGCTATAATTATATCATGTCTTTTTAGTGTCAAAATATGTGCTGCTGAAATCTCTATGTGTGTATCCAGGTACTGGATTGTGACATTCCCTGCAGAGTTCAACCTGGACTTGAGTCTGATCCGGAAAACAGAGGAGTTCAGAAATGTGGCTGCTCAGCTGTCCTGTGAAGAGCATTTCAAGCTCCTCGACATCTCCACCATGTAAGACACAAAGAGCATATAGATACACTTGTAGAAAATATTGACCCGATCAGTGTTACAAAGTAAGATCTTTATTGTTCCAACAATTTGGTCCTCATCCTTATATCAAAATAATCCAAATTCCAATGTTAACCCTAAAACAAAGTCCTGGTCCTAAATGATCTAAATGACAAACTGTCATTATTGAGTGGTAAAACGCATCTCTAAGGGTGCATAGGCCCAGTTTTTCTTGTTTTGTAGCTGGGACACGCATTATGATATGACTACAAACCTACATAGATATGATATGACTACAAACCTACATAGCCATATCTCAAACTACCTATGACCTTAAATGACCATACTGGTGATCCTGCAGCTTTTTGTCTTTAAGTTACAAATTGTTTAGAATCACTGTGTCACACTTTGTCTAGATTGATTGTGCTTATTGTTTATTAATTTTTCTCCATTGTAGTCCGTCATATGACTGGATGCGTAAATTGACCCAGCGCAAGAAGCAGGCTAAGAAAGGCAAGGCCTCACTGCTGTTTGACCACCTGGAGCCAATGGAGCTGGCCGAGCATCTCACCTTCCTGGAGTTCAAGTCCATACGAAGGATATCGGTATGTCTACAAACAGCTGAGTTTCTGTCCAGTGATTTTTTCTAAAGGGTTTGTCAGTCCTTCTGGGACTATTGAATACAACCATCATGACTTACTTAATGTGAAAAAAGAACAACAAATCTCGACAGAACAACAGGCCTGGTGTGAACATTAATATCTGAAAAATAAATATGAATCTTACTGATTCTTACAGATTTTTTTGCTGACATGGATGCTCACGTTGGGGATAACCCCTTTCACTTCACCCAGAAACTGGGAAGTGAAGAGCCCAAGTGCTTCCAAAACTGCAGATCTGGAATATCTCACAGGAAGTTGGCGGAAATTGCCAACAAAAGATCTCGCAGGTTTTCGGTATCCAACTGATCGGCAGAGGTGGCTGCAGGGTTCTACCGGTTTACGATCCCGAGGCTAGGTGACTGGGAGACTCAGAAGACATTAGCTTGTGGGCCAGTGACAGACTTGCATCGATTTAAAGGCAAGACTAATTTTGTTAGTCCACAGAAAATATATCTGTGCGGTACATTTTTGGCCAGATTGTTCTGTCAGGCAGGTGAGTGCAAGGCAACAAAGGGAAATGACCTAAATGGAAACAATTTGGCAGACAGGAACAGTTCAGGGATTTATTGATAAAATGAGGTTACATAAATTACAGGCAAACAGGTAAATATTCCAGATTAAAGGTTGCAGGTTGCAGGTTCATGTATAGGGTGCAGAAGGCTGGAAAGAAAGGAATGACACAACATTAAGAATCTGAGTGGAAATGGGCTGGTTATATGCTGCAGGGCTGATAAGGGAAAGTGGACACAGGTGAGCAGCTGTATGAGAGAGTCAGTTGACTGCGACTGGTGGGAGTCTGGGGGTATTCAGTGGATGGATGGCAATGCAGGGACTTGGGGAAGTGAGAAGTGGCTGCTGCACCTGCTGACAGGTGCAGCAGGCCAGCCTGAGTAGAATGAAAACTACTGAGAAAAACACATGCAACCATTTAAAGCAAGACTATATAACATTTGAAATGAAAAATACAGACATCCTTCCTCTTAAAAGTTGAATTCATAACAAATAAGATACACCCATGTTCAATTCAGGACACTCTGCTACAGAGTAGCTGCTACAGCCTCGGTCTGGTATGACAAGTAGCTTATGGTGGCGAATGCCTATCATTACCTAATGTCAGACCAGACGGATGCTATTGTGTTGCTGGCATTGCTGAGTCAGTTCTTTAACTAAGTTCAAGTTAGGTTAGAAATGATGTCGTTTCATGAAGTTTTACAATCAACATTTTCAAGCCCAATAAAATATACACTGTGAATTGGGTAAACTATGTGCAACACTGATAAGAATGTTCCTAAAAAGCTCTTGGGAAGCTGAACACCTGCTGTAGAGCTTTGATGTGAAGCTAGCCGGCCTCTGGGTGAACTCCCTGGTGGTTAATGGGTAACAACACCAGAAAGAAGTTCAAAGTTTTCATTGGAATTGTGACAAAACTATGAACTAATGAAATTAACACTTTTATGTGTGCATGGGTGTTTGTGTTTGCCCTTGAAATGAATTGAAATTACATGAGAATCTGCTACTTCAGTTTACACAAGTACTCACATATTCCCCACACATGGCCAGAAATAGACTTCTAAAGATGTAAGATTTACAAAACATCATTCAGTATCTGAATATCGCTGTGCGACTCCTTGATCTTCCTCTCACCACCGGGGCTACATTTTCCCCACAAGATGATTCCACATTTTATTTTTGAAAATTCTATGAACTTTCCTCAGGCACCATCATCAGGTCAAAATATCAACTTCACATGCAACACATTTTAAAATGTACCGGGAAAAGGGCATGGCTCTCACGATACCATCTCCCCATAATCTATTTTCAATTATTCTGTGCAATGACCATTACAGACTTAAGAAGCTTAGATTGAAAATTGACAGCTGGATATCTGATCTGTAATATTTGTTTCCAGTTCACTGATTACCAGAGCTATGTGATCCACGGCTGCCTGGTGGACAACCCAACTCTGGAGCGCTCCATTGCTCTGTTCAACGGAGTCTCGCAGTGGGTCCAACTCATGGTGCTCAGCAAGCTAACACCTCAGACCCGTGCAGAGGTTATTACCAAATACATCCATGTGGCTCAGGTAAGAAGGGAAGAGGCAGCAGTGTTTTAAAGGTTTTTTGTCCACAAAACATGGACAATAAGTGGCTAACATTATTTTTACCCAAAACTGTTTAGAAACATATATGCAAGGCTGACTACAGAACTGGGAAGCTGATTGGACAAGAACAGTGTATACGTTTTACAGGCTTTCAAATCCTATCCTGAACTCTGTCGCCAGTCAAAAACAGAAAACAGCAATGTCCAGACTAGACAAATGCAACAGTAAAGTCTTGTAGTCTTTTTATGACAAAACCAAATTTGTCATAAAAGCTAACATCATTGCTTTTCCCTAATCAGAAAAGTATAGACTCACTACATAAGTGCATTGCAAAAAAAGTAAATTGGAGGCCTCATCTCACAATGACTTACATGACCGATTAACAAGAAATTATCTCTTACGTGAAAATAATCTCACAATTATTAGATAAATCAAGGTGGTTATCAGTCATTTGAGATGACAGATAATTAGCATTATTAGTATGTCAACATTGTGCATGCATCTAAAGTCAGAAAGCACTCTGGTTTTACCAGAGTTGATCTGGAGGTGGTTCCGCTGGCACCATCCTATAAAGTCCTGGTTCAGTTCCCTGTATTGCTTGTCATCACCGCGGAAATGAGGTCGACGATTGAAGAGTCGTCAGTGAACTTTTGCAGGTGGCAGTTTGCAGAGTTGTATTTGAAGTCCGAGGTGTAGATGGTGAAGAGGAATGGAGCTAGAATGGTTCCTTGTGGGGCCCCCGTGCTGCAGGACACTACGTCGGACTCGCACTCCCGTATCCGCACATACTGTGGACGGTTGGTGAGGTAGTCCAAGATCCATGCGGTGAGGTGGTGAGGTGGTAGTCCACTCTGGTCTGCTCCAGCTTGTCCCTCAGAAGCAAAGGCTGGATGGTGTTGAAGGCACTGGAGAAATCAAAAAACATGACTACCAGCCTTTTCCAGGTGAGAAAGCATCTGTATAGCAGGTAGATGACAGCATCATCCACCCTGATGCCAGATTGGTAGGCGAACTGAAGTGGGTTCAAATATGAGCTCACCAGGGGCGGAGATGTACGAGGACCAGCCTCTCTAGCGTCTTCATGAGGTGGGATGTTAATGCCACCGGCCTGAAGCTGTTGAAGTCCCTGGGTCGCAGGGTCAGGAAGTGATAATTACAAAATTAGGCAAACCATTTTTTTTTCTTTTTTCTAGTGAATGCTCCCCACTTCACTGTCCAGGAGGACTTGAGTTTGTACAGCATAGAAAGCATTCACTCAGCGAACACTTTTTATTTAAAGTGGAACATGGTTTACTTCCTGTCAGCCGATGTCATTCACATACACTGCAACAGGAGATAAACTGGGACACATTTACACAACAATTACAACTGTGAAATGGACTCTAGGCTGATTTGTCACAGTGGTTATGCAGGACATGCAGGCCAATCTGGTTCACTATATCACCCCCGCAATACTGGTTTGACTTTCCCTAGTATCCATGGGTAGAAACCTTGAACGAAGACAATGGGTTCTTGTATTCATTTTCATACTACTATTGGGTTATTTACCCAAACAAAGGTGTGGTTGAGAATTTTTATAATCTACCCCAGTTTTTTAAACGCAGGCTTTATTTCACATTTTGTTACTGATTAATAATAACCTGTGCCTCTGTAGCAGTTTTGAATGACATTGGCACATTTATTTGTAAAAATACCAATATATTTGTAACAATTAATATGTGAACTTGTTTAGTCTAACACTTAGTCACAATAACCATATTTTCAGTTTGGATGTAATATCATAAAATAACACTAACATTGGGTCAAAACAACCCATTGTCTTGGGTGGTTTTCTACGCATAGGTATGTTGACCAGAATACTACTCGAGTAAATGCACTGTACTTAGTTCCATTCCACCACAGCTTAATCATCAACTATAACTTGACATAAGTGTCTCATAGTTGCTTTCATTTAATGAATGTTTAAAGTCTACCATCGGTTTTATTTAAAAAATGTGTTTCTTATGACAGAAATTGTGGACTGCCTCCACTATAAACAACTAGGGAAAACTGGATGGCATCTCAAGATAGTGATGATAATGTGATCTTAATGGGTTATTCACATTTCATTCACTAATCTAACTGGGACCTTGTGCAATAGAACAAAACAGACACAGAAAATGTTCTATTAGATAAACATTATTGAAGCAAGTTTTCAACATGTCACTCTGTCATCAGAAACTTTTGCAGCTGCAGAACTTCAACACTCTGATGGCGGTGGTGGGGGGGCTGAGCCACAGCTCCATTTCTCGATTAAAGGAGACTCACTCTTATCTGGCTCCAGAGGTTGTGAAGGTAAGTCATTACCAGCCTATGTATATATTTGTATATCCACACAAACATTCAGTACACATGCATTCCTACAACATTTTAAACATACAAATAAGCATATCACTATATACAAGGTCTGGTTATGGTTCAAGGGAATCCAGTGGTAATGTACTGTATTTGCAGGAAAACCAGGCTTAAACATGTTTTATTCAAGTTTAGTTAGTTAATTAGTTTTAAATAAGATTAAATCCAATGAGTTGGATGAAAATGGTATAGGGAGTGCTATCAACAAAGCAACAACCTTCTCAGCCGAGTGTTTGAGATAGTCAGCCACAAGTTCACTGAAGCCAAAATGCCTTGAGTTGCAGTTCTTCAAATGGTCACTAGAGGCTTGCTCCAGGCAAGTTTACTATAATGAAGTCAGTTGAAAATCCTCAACCTTTTCTAAAAATACAAATAAATACATAATTAAGAAAACTTACTTTTGACCTATACAACTGCCTGCTTGCACCCAAACTAAGACCACCAAGGCAGGTCACATGAATTGCCACACCATTCACTTTGTGATTTGATAATTATGCAAACCTCAACATTCCCCACTCCCCTCCCCAGATCTGGAGCGAAATGACTGAGCTGGTCTCTTCCAACAACAACTACTCCTGCTACCGAAAGGCCTTCAATGAATGCCAGGGCTTTAAAATTCCCATCCTGGGTGTGCACCTGAAGGACCTGATTGCAATGCATGTAGTCTTTCCTGACTGGGTTAATGACAGCAATCAGGTTAACCTAGTGAAGATGCATCAGCTCTACATGACCTTCAATGAGTTGGTTTCATTGCAGAGTGCAGTGGCCCAGGTGGAGCCCAACATGGACCTCATCTACCTGTTAACGGTGAGGGATTACCTCATATATATCGTAATTTGCCAATTACAATTATAAAAGGGAAACCTCCACACAACATGCCTCAACACTCTTCTTCTTTCTGTCTATTTGTTTTTTGTTTAAATTCATGAGAACATGAGAAGAGGAGTACTGTAAGAAGGAATATGTCATTTTCAGAAATCCTGGGGGACCTGAGATGAAGGCAAGCCAGTAGTCAAGCATATTTGTAACGACTATACACATATCTTTGTGTCTGGTGAAAGACAAAAAAAGGTGATATTTTTTAAAGATGGAATGCCATTTTCATTATATTCCTTCTACTGTACTGTACGTGGCAACAATCAAAGTTAAAGTATGAAGAGAAAAAAAACACGTTATATATAAGCAAGGGCTGGTAATCTTTTTCAAATATTTTTTTGCTGTATTTGTTCAACTTCTCTTTACATACTGACAGCAATCAATAAATAAAAATGCTCTGACAAAAGAAAGACAAAAAGCTGGTACCTGTGACTGTAATAAGCCCGTCCAATCATTTCACTCTGGCCAAATGACGGACTACCTGCCTGTCTGCCTGCATGCACTCTGTCGTGCATTCATTGCTTGACAGTTCTGAGTTGTTTACATTCATTATGCTATGCTTACGTTCATAATAATAATTTTGGGGGAGTGGCTTTGGAGGGAGACGTGAATGGTCAGTGTTGCCGACTTGGCGACTTTCACTGCACAATCCACTCCTCCATAGAAGTTAACCTTGAATGTTTTAATATTTTTACATAGACTGTTTATAAGAAGTACACTTAGTTATCATGACGTCAACCATGGTTTCACCTAGTTTGTGGACTATTGTGTTGAAGCCTTGAGCTCGCCATTTTGGCCATCTTGGTTTTTGGCCGTCACAATCTTGATTTTTTGCAACCAGAAGTGACACAAGAGGGCGGGGCTTAGTCCAACCAAAAGCTGAATTAAAAATGTTAATTACTCTTGTAAGCTGTGCCTGCGGTGTATCAATGTGTGTGGATATTAGATAGTCCTGATGGGCAGGTGGCGCCTTGTATGGTAGCCATCAGTGTATGAATGGGTGTGAATTGGTGAATGATGACATGTAGTGTTAAAGTGCATTAAGTGGTCGGAAGACTAGAAAAACACTATACAAGTACAGTCCACGTATGTTTACGATTTACAGAGTTTGTACTTAACTACTAAGCAAAAATGATGTACCATAGCGATATAAATAGCAGTACTTACTGGAGCCAAACGTTAGGGAATCTTGGTTTTCGAAATTGTTAATTTCTCAGATCAGATTTAAAATCAGATTCCCACTGGAGCACAGCGCCTTTTGTGTAGAAGAGGTTATTGTGGTGATATTCAAGTTAACAGTTTTTGTCATTTCAATCACATACTGATTTGCAATTTCAGTCAGCACTAAAATATATGCAGCTAAATTAAGTTAGGTGGGGTTCCCTGGCTGTAATGACCCTGGCAGAGCAGACCAAACCCTGACCAATCAGAGCTGACTGGGCTTTTCGATAGGGGGGCCTAAAAAGACAGGCGCTAACACAGACTGTTCCAGTGAATAGAGGTGCTGCAGCAATGGAAGGTATGAGAAAAATACTTTCTATTGTTTTAATTCAGCATTAAAGCGTGTTAATATTTTCAAGGAGACTCACAAAAATAAAAGAACTGGAAAATGCTGAATAGCATCCTATGTCACCTTTAAGTAGGACTAATTTGCTATTAATTCTGGGAAAATAAAAATGTCTGAGCATCTGCTTCAAACTGCTCAGCACCTTATACTAAAAAATCAACTGCTACTAGGACATTTTATTTTGAAATTTCAGCAAATAGTGTAACAATACAAAAACATAGCTGTGGCTTCTTAATGTGGCAGAGTTCCGTTCTAATGCAAACTCGTATGTCGTATGTCATAGGATAGTTAAAATAGTTTTGTTAGTCGGAAGGAAACGGCCGACGATTTGATTTTACTGAACAGCTGGTGTCACTGATTTTTTCCGAGAGCAAAAATTTAATGGTGGCCTAATGGTGCAGTCCTGTCTCCTAAAAATTACGTTCCCCCAAAACTAAAATGCATTCTCAATTACGTTTGACCATAAACGTATTTTATCCCTGATTACGTTTGTTTTTGACGTATAACAAATACGTTTCTCATCAACATATCTTTGCCATACTCCAGTCTTTATTATTTTTCTGTGATCTGCCTCGCCTCTACCCCCGCCACCCACAAGTTGTTGCCCCGCGGCCTGTTCCGAGGGCTGACAGACCTGACGATGGGGTGCCTCACGGTGGGGGCGGCTGGAGACCTCGCGTCCGGCGCCAACGGGTGAGCGCCCGCCACTCGGAACCATAAAACCAAGTCCCGGATTTCACCCGGGGGACATTCTGGAGGTATTGTGGCCGGGTGATGTGCCTCGTTGCTGGGGAGGTATGAGCCGAGAGTGGCGGGGTGTTATGGAGGTATATTTTATTTATTTGTATCCATCTAACCCTAACCATAACTTCCACTAGGAAGCCACATCTCCACTCAAACCTAACCCTTAAGAGAGTCACGGTTACTCCCGCATTTTACACGCGGACCTTTGTGGAGGTATTGTAGCCGCGTAATGTTCCTCGTTGCTCGGCCTGGATGAGCGCGTTTCTGCTGGAGACAGGCGGGGTGTTTTGGTGGTATCTCGGCCGACAACTCGGTGTTGTTCCCGTGCGTGGATGAGCGCATTTCTGCCGGAGACAGGCGGTGTGTTTTGGTAGTATTCTGACCGCGTAATAGGGAGAAGGAGAGGCGCTGGTGGAGAGGGAAAACAATGTTAGTGTTAAAATGTTGAATGTAATAAGTCAATGTAATAAGTCAAACACAAACGTAATCAGGGAGAAAATACGTTTTTGGTCAAACGTAATTGAGAATGCATTTTAGTTTTGGGGGAACGTAATTTTTAGGAGACAGGGTTGCTATGCAGTCGGTGCAGTGAGGTTCTGGCTAACAGCTGTCTGCAGCCCTCTTATTTACGTCGCCACCTGAACACCAAGCATGCCAGTGCAAGTCTAAAGCCCCTTACATTTTTTATATCGAAATTGGAGGAGTTACAAAACAGCCCAAAACAACTACAGTCTCATTCATGTGTTGGGTCGACAAAAAACGCACTACGGGCTTCATATCTGGTCACAGAATAGCAAGAAAGGGGCTACCTCACACAATCGCCGAAGACGTGTGCTTGCCAGCTGCCAAAGAGATGGTGGAATGTATGACTGGAGAGAGAGAAGCAAACAAGTTGGACATGATCCCGGTGTCCAACAACACTGTCGCCCCGCATCGATGCTTTGTCCGAAGACATCCTGGCTACATTAGTCGGTCGCGTGAAGAGTGAGTTTTACTCTCTGCAAGTAGACGAGCCTACAGATGTGGCTAATCTGGCCAATCTTCTGGTGTACGTCCGTTACCTTTTCAAAGGCACGGTGCAGGAAGTTTTTTTGTGTTTTTTTGTGTTTTTTTATCTTGTAAACAAACGCCACGCGCGAGCAAACTGTTCTCTCATTGGTCCGATTTTTATGCGGCTATAAATAGGCTCTGTTGCTTTTTTTAAGGTGTGGGGGATTGGGGGTGCGTGAACCCGGTCGGGATGTAGAAGGGGGTGCGTGGCCTAAAAAGTTTGGGAACCGCTGTATTAGACTAATCTAAAAAGCAAGATTAAGGCGGGTGTAACACTACAGAGCAGTCTAAAATATCTTTATAACACAGGACTCTGATCTGATTGCTTGGACCAAAACTAATTTAAAGTTGCCCACTCACTTTCCCTCTTGTATTTTCAGCTATCTTTAGACCTTTACTACACCGAAGATGAGATTTATGAGCTGTCATTGCTAAGGGTACCACGTAACCCCAAATCATTGGTAAGTTTTAGTTGAAATGGTTTGTATTTTGTCTTCAAGCTTGTGTTCAGTTTTGTTTTAACACTTTAAATTATACTTATTTTTGACAACTTACAAATATTTGTCCTTTTTTATTACTGTTTTGCTCCTGTGGAACTTTTGGGAGAATTGGAGTGAAGAGTGTACTGGGGCTGACACAGATAATTTGCTAAACTAAGTCCCGTCTTCGTGTACTGTATCCTTCCTCACAGCCTACCTCTCCAACGACTCCCAACAAGCCCCTGGTCCCACTGGACTGGGCCTCCGGTGTCACCACTAAACCAGACCCTTCTGTGGTCAATAAACACATCAGGAAGGTGGTGGAAGTGAGTGGATGACCCCTTTTCAAATTATGCCCACACAATGCAGAAAACAGCTACTTGTTGGACAATGCAGAGATGTATGTGTGTATAATTTGTTTGTTGTCATTGTGAAGTCTGTGTTCAGGAATTATGACCATGACCACGATGGCTATATTTCTCAAGAGGACTTTGAGAGCATCGCTGCTAATTTTCCCTTCCTGGACTCCTTCTGCGTTTTGGACAAAGATCAGTGAGTTTAGATATAAAAATAATTTCCTACAGTAAGTGTAATTTTTAGTACATGGTCACAGCACGATGATGTAGTTTTACCACATTTCCCAGTAAATCATATTAACATTTCCGTTCCAAGCTACTTTTTCTCTTGAAGGAAAAAAGCTCAGAAGTGAGTTTATCTTCATCAAGCATTCTGTTCTCAACCACATGCTGAATCTGCACTTGTACATAAAGTCTCTGACGACCATATTCATTTGTTTTGTGTTGTTATAACTTACACCACAAAATAAGGAGTGCTGTAGTTTGTAGTGTAGCTTACTAGTTTCAATAAACGGGCCGATAATAAGCTACTTTCAAACAAGCCTCCCCAGCATGGAAAATTAGTAAACAAGTTGTAAAAATAGTAATTTGGAATTGAATTAATTTGTATTGTTAAACTTAATCCTTATAATTTAGAATTTCTTTAATATAGATATTGTTTTGTTTCTTACACATACACAGTATGCATCAGCAGCCTGCACATTCTCTAAGTACCTATCATGGTTTAAAGGATCCAATTTAAAAAAGAGCAATGTCATCTCCAAAACATTCATTGGTTGGCAGAATTGAGGTTCAGGTTTTTTATGGCCTGGTGTCAGATAGAGATGGCACTTGTCCTTAGGTGTGACCACAGTTCGAGAACAACTGTGCTAAAGAAGCGAAGTGAGGAAAAATGTAGGGGCGAGCCCGCTCCTTTGCTTTAATTCTGTAATTGTAGTTTAATCTTAGGGATGAATGTTATGTTGCAATTGGTCTGACCTGAAAGGACTGGAACACCTGTAAATGACTATCCTCTCTCTCTCTTTCTGCACATTCTTCTTTCTTTCTTCTACTTTTCCAATTCTCTTTCTCTCAGAGATGGATTGATCAGCAAGGATGAGATGATAGCATATTTCCTCCGGGCTAACCCACTGCTCCAGAGTAAGATGGGTCCAGGTTTCATTCACAACTTCCAGGAGATGACATACCTGAAGCCCACCTTCTGTGAACATTGTGCTGGATTTGTACGTATCTCTTAGATTCTGTCACTGCACTTTTCTTCTTAAAGTTCCTTATAGCAATGAACATGTGGAAATATTGCAATTAAACTCACCAGTCACATTCCAAAAATGTTGTCAGGCAAGTCAAATGTCAAGTTCAGCCACACACTGTATCTGTTTGCTAGGTTTTATAGGGTATTACACACTGTCTCGAGGTCATGTTCTTACAGATGCAACAGGCATACACATTGTAACAGGAAATGTTGTGATGACTCTGCTTTAGGAAGATGTCTCCATGCTTTTAACTAATGTTATTTTTTTGTATTTTCTGAATCCACCTCCACCCTGCTTACGTTTCTGGACCTGCAGCTCTGGGGAATCATCAAGCAGGGCTACAAGTGCAAAGGTATTGTTTCATTGCATTCTTCTGTAAAGACCATACAAAGATTGTATAACTGAATTAACTGTAACTGGTTATAGTCATATTATGATCTTGAATCCTGAACTGCAGTAAATAAAGAAACCTGCCATCCCCAAAAAGTAAAATAAGGTTCATCTTGTTATATATATATATATCCCTTATATTTGCATTATATGCAATATTATACATTTACCAAGCATGTATTTAGACATGCTCCACATATTTCATGTTACCATACATGTCTTGTGTTAAGTCAATAGGATATCTGCTTTGCTTCCATAAGAGATCATTTCAAAATAATAGCCAAGAAAGACATTTATTTCTGTTTTTCTTTACTAGAACAGACTTTCAGTGGCTCAAAATTCTAAAAACACATGGCTACTGGTTATATGATCTGATATACAGACTTTTAGAGCTCAACGCAATCTTAACATACTTACTGTATATAAACTTAACACTTTCTAGTTCTTTCCAGAGCTTTCTATCGATGGAGTCTGCTCAGTTGTCAGTTGTTCAGGCTCAACAAGAAAACGGCTTTGTGCAAACTATTTTATACAACTCGACTGCATAACTATTGGGCCAGTTAGCGAAAGAACGTCAGTCTGTTGTGGTGGTGATGTGTACATTATATTATGGACTTCTCAGTTTAAAGATGAATGAGAAATAATAAATGACACTTTAAATACTGTGTCCCTGTACAGCTTGATGTTAAATGTTAAAGCATAGGCACTTTCAATTTAAAATTAGGGTTAGTTTAACATTTCATCCTGACTAAGAAATCAAAGAACTTAAAATGAATGGTACTGTACTTGTATATCGCTTTTCTAGTCTTCTGACCACTCAAAGCGCTTTAGAAATACATGTAAATTCACCCATTCACACCTATTCATACAGTGATTGCAGGGGCTACCATGCAAGGAGTGGCGGAGCATCCTTTGATTGAAGGACGACCCGCTCTATTACTGAGCCAAATAACTTAACATATTTTCACATTAAACACTAGTGGAATTTAGCTATGCAGATAGATTTAGTTGGATTTTCCCAAGTTTTGGGCCAATTTGGGTGAACTGACCCTTTAAGAACTGGGAAACTGAAAACTTCCAGTGCAACTGCTGTGATTTTCATAACCTGATCCCAAGAACATGCTTCCCATTGGCAATCAAAAGTAATGGAAGTAACAGCATCCTCTTGTCTTGATAAGTCTGTACTTAGTGGGACGAAGGCAACTGGTGCCTGCGACTGCCCCAACCGCGGTGACGCGAGCGTCTCCGATGAATATATGCTGTGTCATTGTGTCTATGTGTCACTGTGTCTATGTGTCTATGTGTCTATATTTACTTTGCAGACTGTGGCGTTAACTGTCATAAACAATGTCGGGAGCTGCTGGTCCTGGCCTGTAGGAAGCTAATCCGCTCCACCTCTCTGGGAAATGTTTCTCCAGTTAGACTGACCCACAGCTCACTGCCCAGCAGCCCGGCACTGCCCACGTGTAAAGGTAATTTCAATTCTGTTTCAACAAACAGAATTGAAAAATGGATTTTTATAAATCAAAAGTAAATTGCAGTTAAAAAGGCTTTGTATGTTAAATATGAGCTTCTTTAGTCATACTATGATGAACAATTGATTGGTTCATAATTTCCTGGGTTCTCTCCTTTAGATGAGGATGAGGTATTTGAGTTCCCAGCTGTCACATCAGCAGGTCCAGCTGTGGATACTCAGTCCATCACCCTGATGACTGGCTCAGCCCAGAAGATCTCTGTGCGCTTCCAGAGGGCCACCACCAGCCAGGCCACCCAGACTGACCCCCTGTGGCCCGAACACAGCTGGGGGGCCACAGATGGCGGCTCCCACACCTTCCCCAAAATGAAATACAGGACTCACAGAAAAACATCTAAAAATAAAGGTTGTGCCCGCTGGGAAAACCAGAACCAGGCAGTTTCTTCACGGTGCAGCGTGGACTCTCAGGAGAAGTCAGAAGTCTCAGGGGAGCTTGTACAGAACGGGATTACACACAGAGGGAAGGTAAGGGACTGTAACATTTTAACAGATGGTGAAATGGAACCTGTGGAGGTGAAAGCTATCTTTTCAAACATGAATGCTATTTACTATGAAAATAGAGTCATTGGCATTTTATGATGAGAACCGTATTTTGTCAAAGAACATCAAAAAAAATTTCAGGTTGGAAAAAGATACCAGGGCCCTCTATGTGAAGACTTGGAGGGCAGACAGAAATCAACAGCCATGTGTTAAAGCCACACAAGTGAGGGGGGGGGGGGGTCCACTTTAAGTTACAGATCTCTGAGTCTGAAGGCTTATCAGTCACCAAGACACTGCACAGTGATTTATAATACACAGACAGGATTTTACAACTCTGGAAACAAAGGCAAATATTTTGTCTTTAGCAACCAATTGAAAGGGGGCAGCTGCCTCAGGAGATAGAGTGTTCTTTAACCACAAGGTTGGCGGTTGTGATCTCCGGCTCCTATTATCTTTATGTGGAAAGATCCTTGAGCGAGCCATTGAGCCCCAAGTTGCTCCTCAGGCACTTTACAGCAGATCTGTTTTGTTTTGTCAATTTACAGTTCCGTTTAAAAGGACACTTACACAGTTTCAACATCATGCACAATTGAAAGAACAACACCAGAAAGTCACAGGACTTATTTCCACTGTGGTCCTTGTATAATAAGTGTGTGTACCTGTGCATGCAGAGATAGTGGATTATGGCATTAGCGGCATATAAAAGCACAAAACACATCAATATACAAAAAAAATGTCACAATGGGCATTAATGGGCATTATTCTGACAACAGGCCAAAGTACACAATTCAAAACCACTAAAACTGGTCCATTCAGTGAGCTACCTGCAACCCTGCCTACAAAATACAGGTGTATTATATCCAGCAGCCAGTGTGTTAGCCTTGCCCTTAACATGACTGGGTTTGTACTTGCTATCAGGAACTTTATTCCAATCAAAAGAACTTTTGCCCATCTGTGATAACGGTAGGTCAAATTTACACAATAACCATAAACAACTTTTTTCATCCATTGGGAAAAGAATTATCCTCATGGTCTATAATGTCCCCCTTTACTCTGTGTCATGAATAATAATATATTCAGGGTAAGGATGACAGTCTGATTACTCTCTGCAATAAACACATTTTATTTGACATTTCCATTTAGTCACATATGAGATTTGAAATCACTGATTACCTGGGAGCTGAAAAACAGAGCTGGGGACCTCAGGCCTGTGGGTTGGAAAGAGGCAGAGTTTGAGATCTCAGGCAGACAGAATGGAGGCTGGGCTGATTAGCAGCAGGGCCAGATGGGTGGAGTAAGTCTGGAGGGCAACCAGACAGCTAGAGCACCTCTGGAGGATGGGTAGGACGATGCGTTTGAGGTCAGGGACATAGGTAGGACGGTTTTGGAGTGAAACCTGGAGGTGTGTATGGAGCGCTCTAGAGGTTGGCAAACGTAAGCAGGCCTCTCTTGAAGGACGACCAGAAGGCTGAAAGTTATGAATCTGGATGGAAAATGGAAATGAAGGGTCCTGTAGAATATACCTGGAGAGGAGTAATGTTGGGCTGTAACGCTAATGTTGTTTGTAGCCTTGTGGCTAAAATGAACTGCCTACGGTTTTGAGATTTAGGGTATTTGATTTCAATTATTGGCAGGGTCAGCGCACATTAATAAACATTGCTGTGGTTCCCGGGACATCTTCTGTGAAGATTTTATGTACATAGACATTATTGTTTTACACTATGTTGTCAGACATTCATTTAAACACAATAAAACCAAGAACAATGAAAGTTATGCAAGAACAATAGTTTCCTGAAAACGCCATAATTCCAGATCCAAAAAAACATCTTTTCTCTTCCTCTCCAGGACAGCTGACTTGGTCGCGATGATGACGACCAGTCCAAGAGGTCCAGAAAGCCCCTAACGGCTGGGACCAGGAAGCTCTTCTCTCTGGGGGATGTGCTGGGCTGCCTGAGGTCCCCCTTCAGTGACCTGGAGTTATCATGTCCTCTCTAGACTTCAGCACAGGCGTGCTGTGTGGACACACTGTAGCTGCATGGAAGAACATAATGTGTGGTCTCAACATCACAAAGATGAAGCAAAGGAGCTCAGTGGATAATGGACTAACACCCACTGTGAATCATGGAATGGAATAACACCGCCGTCATGTGCAGGGTAATTGGCTGGGGATTACTAAGACGTATCTTACGTTGGAGTTTGATTCAGGATGTACATACGTAACATCAACACTTGAAGAACTGAGAAAAAACTTTTTTTAAACTTCACTAAAGTGTGGAATGAAATTCAGTGGATCAAAGCCAGCCAGTTACTTTATGTAAGCCACCAGCTTTAAATATCCGGCTGGGACAGTATGACAAAGTAAAAGCCTGATCTGTGGAAACCCACAGGCAAGTTCTTTACCGTCACTTACCAAGTTGGAATGATTGGAAAATACATGATGGATATGGTGTGTGTAGATATTTGTGTGGTTTGATGCAAAAAAGGGAAAGTCAAAATGAAAGTGAATATTAACCCTTCCAACATATGGAACGTTGAAGCCTGGATTCTGTTAAATTATATTTTTGAGTGTTCATTGCCAATGTTTTTATTTATTCCTAGCACCAACCCTGCTGTTCCACCTCAGGTAAACACCCGTAGCTCTGTCGGCACGTTTACCGTAGTTTGTACTGTAAGTGCTGTTTGCACTGTTAGCTATGAGCCTTCGGCTCAGGCGTCACGTTGAGAATCGTTGAGAAGCAATCGAAATGCTCCCAATCTCGTGTTTTGCACCTTTAACTTTTTCCCGTTGTCTTAAGAGTCAAAAATGACTGCATTAGGGTGCATGAGTTTCACTGCAGACATATCTGCCCGAATGACGGTTTTTCTCAGTATGACATTTTTGGACTTCCTGTTCTGACCCTAGCATTAGAAAAAAGTGAATCACTGTGCTTTATATTTTTACAAAATATGTACATCATCAGCTATGGGAAATTTCAAAGGCTCAAAAAAGAGGAAAATCTAAGAAATTAAGTAAAATACAACACACATTGTCGACTGTATTATAATTTGCAGAGAAACACTAATGTAGCTAAATGTATTTTAATAGTAGTGCCTCTCCAGCCAGCTGGCCCAAAGGAAACTATTTCAATGGGACTGCTCCTGTCAGCGATGATAAGCTCTGCCTATGCTCGCACCCCCGAGCTGTGATTGGACAGTTAATTGTTTTTCATTTTGTCACCAATGATGCGTTTCAATCTCAAAATAGACATCCTCATGGAAGTGAATGATGGTGCTTTGCGTTTACTATTGGCAGGTTGAAGCTGCTCTCTGCAGCAGCACTGACACCTCTTCAGTTTGCTTTCTGTGTTGTGATTTGATTTTAATGTGGCACTGAAAAACCAACAAATTCAGTTATTAAAGAAAAAAAGCCAACAATTTTTTAAACAAAAGTTTTTCATTTAATTATGACATTAAATGTAATTTTACTTTGTAACTCAACTTTAATTTTAAATCTTCAACAATCAGGGTACAAAGATCACCTGTAGGTCTCTTTTTACATTTAGAAAATCTTTTACAGATGAAATGAAATTATATCGCAGAATAAACTATATAAAATGTTGTATGTATTATATTAAATGTAAAATAATACCAAACAAAACAAAACGTAGAGCACAGCAAATGTGAGAAATACATGCGTGAAGCCCCTCCCTCATGTGTTCAGCCATGGTGCTCATGCTTCCTAAAATAATGTTTCCAAAATAATCATAGTAATAATAATATGTCACAATAATTACAATATACAAAAAAAATAAGTTCAGGTTGATTTTTTTAAACTTTTGTGCAAGTTAGGGTACAGAACATGAAGACATCAGGAAGGTTTGTTGAGGAAGGTTAAAGCGGGTGATGATGGTCCATGTAAAGGCAGCGTCAATTATTGGTGAACTTCAGTCTCAGTCGAACATGTTTCATGTCCATCCACCGCCCCGACCCCCACACCTTCACTCCCCATCTCACTACACTGAGGACACACCCTCCTTGCATTATTACTGAACAGACCTCTGTGTGGAGTGACTGTTAACATTTCATGTTAGAAAGTCAATGAAATGATTACAAACACACAAAGCAACCCCAAACATGACACTGCCACGAAATGAGAGTGTTATGGGGGTAAAATACTATAAAATCTGACTTTGAATAATGTCATAGTGAAATGAAAGTATCTGTCATTTATATTAGCAAAAGATAACTACTTAGTACAATTATGGTTTCAAATGTTTCACAATTATTATTATTACTATTATTATTATTATTATTATTAATAGTAGTAGTACTAGGAGGAGTAGACTTATTTACTTATTGATTTATGAACAATATGAGCCAGAACAAGGAAATCAAATCATAGGAAATACATTGTTAAAGGAACCTTACATTTCTTTTATTAATTATTCACAATATTTGCATACATACTGTTAGCACATTTTTCTGAAATGTTCAGTGATTAGACTCTTGCTGTCTTGCTGTCATGACCTATAAAAAAAAAGATTAGATTTAGTTTTTGTAAGATTTTAATGTTGAAAGTACAGAAAGGTGTTGTATAGCAACACAATAGTGGTGATAGAAGTATGAGCAGAACTTGACTAAGGCGTTAACCTTGAGATGCACAGTTAAAAGAGTGTCAGTTGAATCTGACATGAAGAGAACTTCAGCAGCAGATGGGTCTGACATGGAAAGAGGTGACAGCAGGTGGAAGATCTCAGCAGAAACAGTTAGTTGTTGTTAAATATTTTATGTAATCAGAGCTTTCAGTGGGGAAGGACGAGTTATGGAGTCATTTAAAAGTAAGTTTATAACTTGAACCTAGATGGAACAATGATATGTCTGACATTCCCAGGCCCTCGCCTTCATATGCTACCATGCAAGGTGCCACCTGCCCTATAGGACCCGAACTAATCATTCATTCCCATTCATACACCGCAGGCGCAGTTTGCGCAGCTTAAGTGTCTTGCCCAAGGACACATGGACTAGCGGAGCCGGGGATCGAACCGCCGATCTCGTGATTAAAGGATGACCCTGCTCTTCCACTGAGGCACAGCCGCCTGTAGTTGTACTTTGCATTGCAATTAAAAGCCCCCAGTGTGAGCATTTCTGTTGTTATGGTGATGGTCTTAATGAGTTTACCAAAGAGAAGAGTGGTAGGTGCATTTAAAAACAGTGTGGTGGCCATGTACTCATTGTTAGTGAGTTATTCTTGGTTGTGGTTACAGTGATATTGTACTGTATACCCTGTTTGATTAAAAGAGCCACTCCATCCCCATGGCCTGCTGGTTGTTCTCTTAACATATTAAAACCGGTTTCTTAATTGAGGCCACTGTGTCCTGTTTTTTAAACAAAATGAGTGTTTCCTTATTTATCTGATGTGTAAAAAGGTGGTAGCCATAAAGGGAAAGTTAACAGGATTAACACCTGTTAGCAATCCAACAGCCCACCAGCAGGCCCAGCCAAACAACCATCTTTGAGAGGCTGTAGCTAGCTCAGTTTTATAGCTAGAAGATACTGGTTTTATAAGAAAATAGTAAACTTAAGGAATCGGTTGGTACCAACCATGTCATTCTAGCTACTCCCCGGGAAGGGAGCTAAATAACGTTCTGAAGTTTGGTGAGGGAAAAACTGTCACTGCGATTTCCGAGGGGGTCCCTTGATCTCTAACCTCAAGATGTGTGAATGAAAATAGGCTTATGGGTACAAGTCTCCCTTTTACAGACATGCACACGTTATGCTAATCCCCTACAGTTTGGGGGGAAAAAAACATGCTATTTTTTGCATACAGTATAAATGTGATATCTTTGCCTTTTTCTAAAATAATGTATTTGAATGTTTCTGCATACCCTAAACAGTCTTGAAATTGGACTGGAAAGCCGACACTCTTCTGATCCCAATTGTATTAATGCGTGATGATAGTGACGATCCCGCTAGTCCATGTCGATGTGTCCTTGGGCAAGACACTAAACCCCAAATTGCTCCCACGGGCTGTGTGTTAATGATGCCATGTAGTGTTAAAGTGCTTTCAGGAAGTACAGTCCATTTAACATAGCCATTTCCCATATTGAGATTTTTTTTTTTTAACTTGACATTACTGTATGGAATAATCTATTGTGGCCTCTAGGATAACAAGAGCCTCATGAAACTTTACATCCACAAACTAGAGTAATCAGTTGATTAATACATTTTTATTTCTGATTCTTGACTAGAGGAATTTGACACACTGCTGAGCTTCATATCAAATTAATCTTCAGGTTCCAAGCTTTCAGGCTATTTTATGGCCAGAGGCTTCTTGGTGCTATGGTGGTGAGGGCTAGGTAGGTGGGGCCATTTTTGGAGATGGAGGGGTGAGTGCAGCCGCACATTTGTCTTCCGTCAGTGATGCATCGTTTGTGATGAGACGTGACCGAGTTCTTGCATTACATTAATGTGTGGTTGAATGGATGGCAGTTAACACCGTTGGGTTAATGGGATTTATCAATTGCGTATTGAGAGAAGTTTATAATAAATTTCATTTGTATAACCCTTTAAAAAAAATAAATAAATAAAATAAAAAAGTACTCAAGGCACTTTATATGGTCAAAAATGAAACGATAAAAGCAATTACAATATAAACAAAAGGTTTAAGGCTAAGGAACACAAAAACATAACTAGCTTCACAGGTTAAAAGCAGATTTGAATAGGTGAGTTTTAAGTGCAGTTTCAAAAGTGGTGGTGTAAAATTAATTAAAGGCTGCTCATCCTTTCCTTGACAGTGATGTCATTAGTCACCTTTTTGTTTGGTATTCCGCTCCTGTTCGCTTGCAGCAGACGAGTCAGTTTGTTTGTAGCTCCTTGACATGTCAGCAATGTTTATTTTTCATGGATGGGAAAGTGTGATGCCAGATACATGTTTGCCACCCAAGAGGTGAGTGGCAGGTTTGAGTTCCACATAAAGGCGACACCACTCCGATTGTGTTCTTTAAGGGATCGTGTTGTGCTGCAACTTATGTAGCATCAATTGAGAGTGGAACCACAGGCCTTTTCTTGTGCCTAGTTTACAGACATGCAAGTCTGGTACAGACAGACGCAGTTGGCTTTGGAAGCGCAGTTTAAGTGGCAGGCAGGCGTCCGATTACCCCGAGTAAATAGAAACTCTAGTCTGGGTGTTAAACGGCTTCCTCTGCCATCACATGCATCAAGTCTTGCAATATGCCAATTCCACAACTCCTGAGGGATTTTACTTTCGTCATGACTGCTGGACCATCATTTTGGATGTCTAATATATTTTACAGAAAGACTTATTTACATGAAAGAAATCAAAGACCATTTCCAAATCCATTATTGCATTAAGATAACTTTATAAACAAATTCAAAATTAACAAAGCATTTGCAAAAAAAAGTACCACTGAAGGCAACGGCAAAAAGTGTTTTGACATTACAATGTAATTAAGATGCCAACTGAACAGACACTAATCAAGCATCTTAAGAAGCATTCATTCATAATGCATTGAACTCTGCCCTCAGTGGGTGATGTGTTGGCTAGCTACCTGATTTCCCTTGATCATTTAAAATTTCATTACTCAAATATAAAACATCTAAAAAAAAAAAATCTAATTGAAGCAGTAGTACAAACTCCATAAAAGTACCATACATTGCCAAAAATACACAAATGTTACCAGTGCAACTGCAAGTGTCCAGTGTCGCCCAGTAAGCTACAACACAGGCTGAAATATCTGTGAATCACCATCGAGACTGATGCGTGGCTCCACGTCTCAATGAACAGAACGTTTACAAAAGGCAAAGTTAGTCTTTAGCATAGAACTAAACAGGGTTTTAAAAGACAGGCAGAAAGAACTCATGTATAAAAAAAACAACTAAAAAAAAAACTCATTCTTTGGCTTCCGAGCAGTGGCTGGTAACTGCTGACAGGACTGAATTGACAACAAACCTCAATCCCCACACAGAAAACAACATCTGTGGGCCTACCGATGTCTGGCTGCACTATAATTTCCCTGGGATGCAGTCATTCACCAGTCCATGCTTGCATCAATCTAACATTCACACAGCCATATTACTTTCCCTTTGGGACATTTACATCATGTCGTCATCGTCATCTTCTCCTCCTCCGTACATGTCGGCCAGTTTCTTGAAGCGGGATCCCCACTCATTGAGGCAGTTGTAGTCCTGGTCTCCGCTGCAAGACGAGTTCAGAGAGGAGAGGCTTCCTGCGTCAGAGCCGCCTCCTTCATAGTCGAACACCAGCAGGGAGTCGTAAGGGGGTGCGGTCGGGTCGTTGTCGGCTGCCTTCAGGTTCTAAGAGAGGCGCAGAGGATACATGTTCTCATTAAACTGAACTCCATTATTTTATATACAGTGGAATCAGAAATCAGGAAAGATAGAGGATGATGCAACAAGTATCAAAGAACATCATGCCATGACAAATAAACGATAATCAACTGGGACACCAAAAGGAGCCTCATCGGGTTTGAATTAAAGCATTTACAGTTCGTGTTAACTAATAATCTATATGATAAGAGAATGAAAATACTCTTTGAAATTGGAATAGTGCGTGTGGCAACATGAGATCATTTGTGATTTCAAACAAATATGAGCTTTAAAAACACTCATTTAAAAGCAGTGATAAATCAACTATTTTGATTTGAATACGTTTGTATGAGCTCTTGCTTGTTTGACTCACATCGTCGATGAAGTTGCCGATTTCCTCTGGGTTGGCGGGCCGAGGCCGGTACTGAGGAGCCGGCATGAAGTTTGGCACCACGTCATTTCTGAACACCTCGGGCCGGTTGTCAAGACCACGGTGGAGAACACCAAGATCATAGTCCTGATTGTAAACACTTAGGGGTTTACACAAAGATACTGCGTATTTCATTTAAACTAAAACATCTGTTGGTGCATTCATTGAATAAAAGTAAACCATGTTTCTGTTGATATTTTTATATGCAACTCACTGTATTCTATGTCTCCTGCTGTTAGATGATAGATTAGCAATGGTGCTTTTGCTAAAAACAACCATTTGACACCAGTCTTCCCACTAACGTTAATAAGTGCTGGCCAGCGGCACTGCTCAACTAGAGTAACGGCATGAGATTTTCATGGTACGAGTATAACCTCCGAAAATATCACCGTTTCACAGCAACAATATTAATGATAATGTGATACCATAGACTATTATTATGACCCTTAAAATAATGAGAACTGACTTATAAACAGAATTATAAACCTGATAAAACGCAACTGTTATATAACTGAAGCATGTTAGTTTACATGTTGGCAGCACTGAAGAACGTTTAACTACTAAATAAACAGCAGTAAGCTCTTAAAAGAATAGCCTATGATGTTTAAAAACGGTCACATAATGTAGGTGTGTGACACTGCAGCCAGGCTGCTTCCATCTGTACCTTTAACTCAAGATCATTTTCTTCAACATTGTAGATAAGCAAATGTATATGTTATAATAACAGTCAATGTGAATACTGACAGATATGTCCCTCCAGCTTTTCCAGTCAGAACCGCCTTCATTATTTTGATATGATGTGCACCTGATTGAGCCTCGTCATAAAGCAATCAGTCCAAATCCCCCGTCCTAATTTACCTGATCATCCTCCCCGCCGCCCTCTTCATCATAGTAGTAGACGTTGTCTCTGATGTCGTCGTCTTGCAGTAGAGGTACCTTCTGCTCTCCTCTCCTCCGTCTCGCGAAAAGCAGCAGCAGCAACACGAGCACTAAGCATACAGAGCACAAAGCTTAATACAACACACCCATGATTCACCACAAGTCCAACCATTTCATACAGAGCAAAAACAGCTTAGGTGAAGTGCTGAGAGTTGGGCCACCCAATGCTCCCTGCACAGTGAAACATTCCAGAGAACACGTCGCAATGCAATAGACCATCAAATACAGACACACCATGTGTTAATTATTCCAGCTTCCCGACTGGGGTTTGTAAACTAAATATCAGACTTACTGAGCAGCAACAGGATGCCTCCCAGTATTCCCAGGATTACGGGCAGTTCAGTGCCACCTGCCACACGCCCTTTGCAGATCACTTCTTCCCCGGTGCAGTCACAAACTGTGGCCTGGACGGTGCTGTCCTGTGCCTCGCCGTGGTTGTCTGAAACCCTGAGGACCACAGTGTACTCTCCACTTTCTAGCTCAGTGGCTAAATTCAGGATGATGCCAGTTCCTGAAACAGAGGAAAATTGACTTTATAGCCACTGGCCAGTTGAGTTTCTCATTTTGTCTTATATTATTTGGAAAAGTGTTGCATGAGAGGCTCCTTTCAATGAGTTCTCTTCAGACACCGATTACTCTCATACTCTGTATCGGTGCCCCAATAAACCATCCAAAATCATTCAAATCTCAGTAAACACTTTCTAAACTTATACCTCAACTGAAGCATCTCTGACCGAGTACATTGCCTTGGAAGCACTACCTGTTATATGAACTTTGATCTTTTTGGCGATGGCTAATCTGAGGACAATTTTCAGCTCCTAAACAGTTAAAATATTTTCTTGATTTAATTAGTTGTTTTTTCTGCAGACAGGACTGACCTACAAGTTTCTCCTGGTAATGGCCATTTGATTGGATGGTTACAAGTTTGTGGCTTACCATGTGTAAAAAAAACCCAAAAAAAACTATTTATTGTGAATTAATAGTGTACATACTGGAATCGTTCATCCTAGCGGTCCAGTTAGTCTTCGATATGCCCTGTAATGAGACGCTGTATGGAGCAGCAAAGCCCGGTCCATCTTTATCCGTCACCGACAGCAGCTGAGGAGCCGATTCCTTGTGACACACCTGAGGAAACACAATGACAGAAAGACTCTTTATTTGCTCATGTTACTGCAAAACAAATTTTGTGAGATCGTGACAATGTTTATTAGTTTTCATTAAGAATACAAATGACAAGGACAAACAAGGTTCCCTCTCCTCCCACCTCACTTCCCCAAACCATTCATAAGGTAGCAGCAGATCAGAGATGTATTTTGGCCCTAAACCATTCAGTGCTTTATAAACCAGCAGCAGAATTTTAAAGTCAATTCTTTGTTGGACAGGAAGCCAGTGCAAAGACCTCAGAACTAGAGTGATGTGATCCACTTTCCTGGTCTTAGGGAGGACTCGAGCTGCAGCGTTCTGACTGACTTTTTACAGAGACCTGTAAACACCGTTACAGTAGTCCAGTCCACTGAAGATAAATGCATGGACAAGTTTTTCCAAATCCTGTTGACATAAATCCTCTAATCCTTGATATATTCGTCAGGTGATAGGCTGATTTATACATGATGATAATCTATTAGTGGTCATTATGCTTTCTTGCAAGATACACTAAGCGTATGTTCCTTTTTCTTCAGTTTTATGTTTGAAGGGTTGAGGTTCAAAATGTAAATCTTAGGTACCAGAGGGACCTCTATAGGGATGATTGTGTCCATCTTTTACTTTTTCACAAAAATATTTTTCCTATATCCCAAATACAATGACACAAGGTACCTTTACATTCATTACATTTAGTACATATATCGCCAAAATGGTGTTATTTCTATACTCGCAAGTTAATTATTTTGCAATATTTTCGGACGAGTATTTAGAGATCATTTCTGTACATCTTCACAAACCAATAGGATGTTCCAATCCTACAATGTTATTTCCTTATTCAAATCCTTCCTCCATGCTTCCAATTTTCCCTCCGAGGACACTTGGGAACCAGGAATTAAGAAATCATAGAAAGAAGAAATCAAGCCTTTGCAAATATTTAAAAAACATTTTCTTGGTAGGATGAATTTTTCCTCCATCTATTGAAACAGAAGCTGTGTACATCACCAATTTTCCTCAGTCCCCTCTCTGTCCATATATAGCCCCCATCTGCTCTTCAAACCCAGCATTGCCTAAATCACACCCATCACATTTGAATTCAAATCTCATCTGCATTAAAAATTGTTTTGGGAAAGGAGACGCACCTTGATTGAACGTTCCTCAATGGTGGGTGCATTGTCATTGACATCTTCAAGCTGGATTATTAGTGTACCAGTTCCTGTGGCTGGGACATCATCTGGTGAGGTGGCAGACACACACACAAACTCAATTCTAGGGAAGCTAAAACGTCAGTGAGACGACGTACATATTTTGTTTGGCCCCTAAAGCAGTGCAGAAAACTAGATGACCGTGTACAAGTCTTGCCTTCTACCTACCATTGTCATATGCACCAATGAGTACTGTGTATTTGTTGTCCTTGACGAAGAGGGCCTCTCTATCCATGCCCTTTCGTACTTTAATCAGGCCCATGTCTGACACATTCAGCCATCCGGCAGGGTCTCGAATTATTCTATACCTGAATATACAAGGAAAAAAACAGAGTTAATGCTATGCAAGCGAGCAGATAACCAACATGCTTCATGACAGGGCATTCACAGATCCGATCCCCATAAAAAGTAATTCAGTTGATATTTGCCATATACCGTTCTTTGAGTTTTGCTTGGACATATTGTCAACTTAAGCCTGAAACATTTTAGATTTTACTTTTTATAAATGCTCATTACGCCAAACTTACAATCAACTGAAAAACAGGAACATTTAAGGTTTTTGGTGGCTGCAATTATTGACAGCAGTGACAGTGACATATTGAACCATGATCATTGTTTTATTATCAATGAAACTCAATCTCTATCAACTTCCAAATCAAAGTGATGCAATGAATATCAACAGCTACTGATTGGAAATGGTGGAATAAGAGGCCATTTTCAGCATTTTAAAGAAACAAAATCATAGCTTAATGTTGGAGCAAACCAAATTACACAAAAACTTTGGAAGACAATAGTGAACATGTAGTAAATGCTGTCTGCACTTAAATAGTATACAGTGAAATTAAAGATGAATTGAATACAGTCTTTGTTGCCCTCAGAAGTTAGAGAAGTGACACCTAAAGCTTGTTTTTTCTTATTTTAGTTTTCTCTGGCAGTGATAACCTTGTGTTTAAATACTTGTTGAAAATAACAAAGATCAGAGTTTGAGCTTACTTGACTGTCTGTTTGCGTGCAGTGTCTGGGTCAGAAGCAGTGTACTGCACCACATCACCGCCCGGTGCAAGGTCCTCCCGTTTTGACACATGTTTTTCTATTGGATCAAAGATTGGAGCTTCATTGACGTCCAGCACACTCACCACCACTGTGGCAGTGGCAGTGGGCAATGGAGTAGCAAAAGGAACCTCATTCTCCACTGCAACCAACAGAGTGTGCGTGGTGCTCCTCTCAAAGTCAAGACCCTAATTGGATGGAAGGAAAAGCAGAGCAGCACAATTCAGACAAGTGTCTCACAACTCATACTGCTGTACAACTTGCACTCAAATTCCCTCAATAGATAACAGTGATTGTTATCTAATAAACTGACAAAAGGTTGCTGAAATACTATCTATGGAACAAACATTTAATGACATATCTCATAACTTTAATATTGTGACTGTGAGAATTCTTTGTATATTTCCTACCTTGGCAGTAGAAATGATTCCTTCATGTTTGTTACTTCCTGTTTTCACAGTGAAATGTCCTCCAGGATCACCATTGATAATCGTGAACTTGGCGTTCCAGGCTGGGGAAAGTGGCTCGTCACCATCTGTGACCAACATCCTAACGACATGAGCGTCCACTGCATTTTCTTGAACAGATGCCGCATACTGGGAAAATGTAACAAGGGAGTTAAAAGAGAAAAACAGTGAAGATCAGAAAAAAGGATGCTGTTGCTTGTAAACAAGTATTTTTTAACGATGGCCTTCATTTTATAATCTACATCATCATGCAGTTTAGTTCATGACTCTACAGCTATGGGATTCTCTGTTTACTATAGTTCACTTACCATGAACGAGCCAGCTCATACATGGTCAACTTTAAACTAGACTACTAAAAAAAAAAAAAAATGAAGCATGGCAAAAACTCCAAAGCTTGACAGATCTGCGGTGCCTAGTTATGGTTGCTGAGCTAGGACTGTAGACCTGCTCATCTGGGGAGGTGTTTAGTGAACGTAGCTCTCCAGTCAGAATCATGTTGTACTTACGGAAGGCTGAGTGAAGGCCGGAGCATTGTCGTTGCTATCTGTGACAGTAAGGATTACTTTTGCTTCCCTAGTCAACCCTTCTCCCATCAGGTCTGCTACTTGAACCACTAGAGTGTACTTTGGATATTTCTGTTAGAAGAGAAACACAAATGAGTTTAACTCACCAACTGGAAGGCTTAAACATTTTTGACGTAATTTTAGACTCCGTTGGAGCAAATCCATGAAGAAAAATAGCCAAGAAGCTAATGGCAGTCCCATTAGCCCTGGCTGGTGTGATGTTACATGATGACAAATGTTACTTTGAACAACAAAAGGAAATGTACAGTGTATAAAAGCAACAGACCACTTTCTACTCCATCGCCATCAAAATTGCATTTCCTGTTGCTTTAGGCAATTACCATAATATTCTCTTCGGTAATGCAAAACGGAGGAAAGTCGAAAGGTGGTATGAAAGTTACCGTGACAACAAATTTGGAGTTACTTGAAATGACTGCATCATGAATGGATAGGAAAATGTCAGTTCTACAAACTATCTCAGACTGGTTGGCAAGATGTACAGTTTCTTCTGCATGGGGATTTTTGTTTTCAGTCTATGCTAACCAATATCCTGAATCTGTGGTTTTGTGTCAATGAATCTATATCTGCCAGATATCTATAGATTTCCAGATATGCATCATTTGATCTTTCCAATCCCACTTGTCAAGATCAGCCAATAGCAGATGGCTATATAAACTTCCACACAGTTTCTGTGATCAGCTGTGTGAGATCTCAGTCAGTAGTTTCATACCAACATCTACTAATAAACTACTTCCTATGTAAACAAACTACTTTCTCAGTCGGCCCGCAACAGAGTCAGCATGAAAGACAGACAGGTGAAATAGGTTTTTAGAAGGCTCACCTCTCTGTCAAGCCCGCCGGCATTGAGCCGGATGGCTCCAGTGACTGGGTTGATGACAAACATATATTCGTTGGGCAAATCTGGATCCTGGCTCAAAATACGGTAGCGAATATCTGAGGCGTCAGTATTTGGCTCGTCAATATCTGTGGCCACAACCTTAATCACCTCGTAACCTGGAGAGAGGGAAGTCAGAGGTGAAAATTAAGTATGTGATATTCTTGGTAGGGCTGGGGCTTGGAATTCTGTCTTCCAACGATTATGAAATCAAGATAATTGAGATAAAACGATTATTGTTTCAGCCCTCCGCAGCGAGACCAGAGGCTGTGGACTCGATGGAACCTCTCCCTGCAGGAAAGGACTCATGCTCCCAGCGCAACATGTAGGGCGAAGTCGGCAACCCACTAAACCAGTCTTCAAAAACGGACCCTTTCTCGATAACCGTGCTTTGTGGGTGACTTTGTCATCACCATTCATATCTATACACCCAATGTGTTCATAAATAAATTGTTTAGCACAACATCCTTCATAGATCCAGCCTCTTGGCTCTCAAAGTGCACCAGATTATTACATTAAGACGTACACATTTTCTTTCTAGATGCATTATGTATCCAAAGTCAATGAGTAATCGTTGATTTTTCCCATAAACAAGCAGCGCACTTCATCGAAAACGTGATTTACAGACTGAAGCTGGGTACGATAGTTTTTTCCAACAATGCACTTGTGATGGTTGTGGTCAGTCAGTGACGTCAATTAGTCACTAATTAATAGTCTTGTCATAACCCATATAGTTAACTAAAATGACCCTTCAATATAAAAAGTAGTGTACAATTTATAGCAAGGTTAACTACTATGATGAATCGCATGCACATAAAACAAAAAGGTAGATTTAGACAACTGGCAGTTGAGAGTAATGATCAAGGTGACAGATTATTTTTGATTTAGCCATCTGACCTCAGCTTAAGCTTAATTAGGATGCTCACCTTTTTGAGAATATGAGTTTGCAAACTTTTTCTTTCTTATGTTTATAATTAGGTTACAGGTCGCATAAGAAAAAGTCCCTTTCAGTAATGGCACATCCACTGTGTAGTATTTCCCAAATATGTTGGAGCAGGTCCTTGATTTAACTCCATCAAAGCTTTAGGTCAAACAGTAGAAGTTCAAATATGCTATTTTATCTTGTGATAACAAAAAATACCGTGTAACATTAACAGACATCTTCAGGGCTAAAGGAGATTAACTGCCAGTACCTTTTGGCGAGGCCTCAGCAACTTCTCCCAGGAAGGTGTCTTGAGCAAAAGTTGGTTTGTTGTCATTCTGGTCAGTTACTTTCACTATAATGTCCATAGGCGCTTCGGCAGTTCCTGCACCTTCTGCCACAGCATGTGCTTTAAACTGCATAAGACAAACACATTGGAATTATAAAACTGTATACTCAATAATAATCCATGTAGATCCTTTATTCCATATCGCTAGCATTCACACTGGTGACACAACATGCCACTGGTTTCACTTTAAATCTCTGATCTACAGGTGTACCAAGTTAGGCAGTGAAGAAGACCATTAGCAATTAATCATCATGTTACCAATGTAAGATTGAATAATCATTGTTTTTGGAGGAAAGGTTGATTAAACGCCCTGAATAAACATCTGTGATTGTGTCGATATGCACAAATTAGTTTGAAGGAATATGAAGCTCGGCCATGTAATACTGAGCTAGCTGCTCCAAGGGTCCGTGGTGATTTTTTGTTCCGGGGATGACTTCCAGTTATTGTTATGGGGCAACTCGGATTCGGACAGCAAATAAGCCCAGCGCTGTGGGTCACAGCGAGCTGGTGGAGCGCTGGGTCTAAACTGCAACGCCATCAACAGGATGAGAGCCCCGGTGCTGGGGTTTGCTCTGGCTAAATTCAAAAAGCTAACGAAAGCTCCATCCGTCTCCCGGAGCAGGTGCACGCTGTACCCCAGTAGCAGCCTCCCAGTGAGAATAAGACGAGGTTGCGAGTAGTTTTCTTGTTTCTTCAACTTAGAATTTAAATCAATAAACAAACTATAAAAAAGGCACAAGGATCATGGATGTATTATTGAAAAGCTTTCAGGGCAGCTCTACATCTTTGTCATCTCATGTTGGACTGAGGACAGACTACAGTGACTCACTATCGTCTCATTTTAGATACAGCATCTCTGATCAACAGACATTTTTGGACTCTTTTAAACTAAAATCCTGGAACAATTACACATTGCACCTGTAATTCAAAAAGGAGTACAAAGTGTGTCCATATGATTCCCTGCCTGATCATGAAAAGTGAACAGAGTGTATAAAACTAACATCAGAGAGGGTGCTTACCATGTACTTGTCTATTAATTCTCTGTCCAGCGGTTGTGTGAGATACAGATTACCAGTGTTTTTGGTCATGGTGAAAAGGTCAACAGGATCCTCACTGGCTCCTGGACCAGTGATGCTGTAGAGGATCTTCTGTATTTTATCCTCATTAGAACGGATCTGGAAAAAACACACCAGGCCGGAGTTAGACCACAATATTGTTAGCTACAATATTGTGTACTGCAGAGGTCTTTGAGTTAATCTGCATTTACCTTTCTGAGGTATAGAAACCGAGAGCGGTTACAAAATTCTACATGGCTAACAGCCGATTCATTATTTCAGCCATAGTGCACCTCAGAACATCTATGCATTTTCTTTATAATTTCCCTTGATAACAGGATGATTACACTTTAAATATATAAAAAATAAAACAAGGTCAATAACTGATTATCACCAGTTAAGGAAAAATTGAAACTATGGCTATATTTAGGGAGGAGTGGGAAGAGATGCACACATGAAAATGGAATGCTATATTTGAATGTACTGTAAATAGAAAACCTAAAATAAAAAGCCGAGCTCAATGACTGCAGCGGGAACTTGGCAGAAACGGAGAAACAAATAATCAAAATACAGTTCAGTATCAAATTCTCAGGAACAAGGGGCTTAGGTTCCTCTTACTTGAGCTACTAGTAGGGGGTAGGGTCCTCTGTCATTCTCAGTAACTTTTAATTCAGGAATAACCCAGTCTCTCTTCCTCCTTATCAGCCCTTCACCAGTCTTGGGAAAATTCAGAATGGGCACCTGGAAGAAAACGCACATTTGTAGCCAGTTATAGTGTGACAGACACAAGACATTGGACTCTAATCGCTGCAGCTCACGTTAGCGCATAGTTGTAACCCTGCTGTTTTTCACAGTTATCGTTAGAGTTCGTCAGTGCTACATACCTGGTTAAACTCTGAATACATAAACTAATAAATATTCAAAATTTGACAATTCTAATAGTAAAAAAAAAAAAAAGTCAAAAAAATGATATTTGATTGTGAAAGAAAAGCTAAAATAATTTAACAACTGTAATGATGACAGAGAGAATGACACCGTTTCCTAACGGCAAGCGCTACGTTCCACCGTTTGTACTTTTTAAAAACAGAAAACATTTTATATTGTGATAATAAATGAAAATGACATACAATTTAGCCTCCAGCAACCTGACACGTTTATTTAGATTTTTATTAATGAAATGAGACGGTGTCGTATAGATAACTCCATATTGTAACTTCAGGAATCAGCCGTTCTGTGTCCATTGTGGCGCTTTCTTAGCGAGCAACAGAGATAAATGAAAACCAGGCGTCTGACAAAAGTTTAGAGCTGCACAGTGCTGACAGTTGGGACACGGTGTCATGGAGATAATGCGCTAAAATTTATGTACACATAATTTGATCATGCGTTTTTTTAGAACACATATTTGGCTAATTTTGACAATACTCCTAATAAGTTACATTAAGTTAGTATAGAAAAAAAAAAAATAATTGAATTCCAAACTTACATCCCGCAGCGCTATGAAAAAGACTTCTGCTAACAGAATTGAACCGGTGAGCCTTGGCAATTCATACACAGCCACAAAGGGGCAGTGTTCTATAGAAAAACTGATCTTTGCATGCAGAGCCTTTCCACTGTCAAACCTGCCTCCAACAATGTCAATTGTTCCAGACCCTTGATAAATTTGATGCATGTGGCACTTGCAAAACATATTTTACATCAAATATATTATTCGAATTAGCGTCATTTAGAAACATACATTTGCAAGTTTCCTTCATGCCCTTTCAAAAGTGTCTCTAATCCTACAGTACCTCTGTGTTATTAGCAGAGTCCACTTCAGTGTGGTGGTGCTGATGGTTGTGGTGTTTGCGTTCTCCATGGTGATGCTTGACATTATGGTGGTGGTTCCCATGGTGATGCCCATGGTGCACTACTCTGACAAGAACACTCATTTTGTGACCTTGTGAGTCCCAGGAGTGGATAAAGAATTCCCGGTGTCCATGAATATCAGCTGGTCTTTTTACCTGGAGGGGAAAAAACACCCATTAGCAAAGGTCAACCTGCTGTTAACAGATTTGGATTCAAGCAAGCTCTCAACATGACAACATCAAACTTCTAAAAATCCAAAGTGTTGAAGGTAGTTTGACAACAAAGAACAACAACAAGTGTTGTTGCCGTTCAACTAAATCTGTGCTGTATTCAGGTGGGTCCAAGTTACACATGTAGGAGTCACTCAACAGAGACACTGCCGTCTTGAAACTTACATTGGTTCTGTCATCATACTTCATCTAAGTTGAGTCAAAGTGGTATTTTGTTATTGTTGCTGAGAATTCATATTTTCACACAATAGTTACTCAAATCCCCTAATCATGTTAAGGCACAAAGGGATGTGCAAGGATTTTGGAGAGGTGAGCATTAGAATTTTACAATAGTCTGTTGAACTCTACTGACCTTCAACATGCCATCTGTCTGTACTTTGAAATGGCTGTTATCGGTGCTGAAAAGAAATTTTGTGCGGCCTGTGCAGTCAGAGAAGCCCACTGGAATTTGAAAGAAGAAATAGTTATTACAAATGCAGAACATAGAGAAAACAAAGAAATAACTGGCAAGTCTTCATATGATGTGTTCTGGCTAATAAAAAAAGTAGCCTTTCTAATAAATAACTGCTACTATTATTAGTGGTAATATTTTTTTACTATTACTGTTTTTATTGTCATTCTATTATATCCACTAGTAGTAATGCTTTTTCTATTGTTATTGGGCCTGACATTACTGCTTCTACTGCCATTACTATTCTCATTGTATGGATCATTTCTGTCATATGGAACGATTGTTCATTCTGTACACATGACATCTATTGCACTTCTGACCATCCTAATAGAGGGATCCCTCCTCAGTGGCTGTCCCTGATGTTTCTTCCTTTTTCCCCCCATTTAAGGTTGATTTATCAAGCCACCAGAAGCGATCTTTTGATTAGTTAAACTCGGCTATACAAATAAAATAGAATTTAATAACAAATCTGTGTTGAGATTGGCAGGAGAGTGAGTTAACGTTAGCAGCCTTTGGGCAGCACAGCCCTTCTGATTCAGTAAAAACATGTATTGTGAAGGTAAATTATAGCATTATGTGTTGTATCAAATGTAATCTTTTTTTATTTTTGACCAAAATCAGAATTAAAGAAAAAAAAAGTTTTGCAAAAAAAAAAATCTATAAACCTGATCCAGTTGTACAATGGTGATAAGATTGATGCTTCCTTTACCTCAAACAATCTTTGACAAGGTACAGACAACTGCTTGTAGAGTGCACACCAACCTGACAGCCAAGTGTTTTTTTGGCCTGCCATCAACTTACTCAGAATTTGCAATAATGTGTGACAGCTGGTATGACCTGCAGCTGGTAACATTACAGCCAGAGCTTAGTAACTTTTATCAATCACCAAATCATTTCTCACATTTCCACACTCCAATTCATCACTCTCATATGCAGTGAATTATTTGTACTGTAGATCTCAGCTGTGGCAAAGGAGCGCAGCACTAGCAGGCTGAGATGGACAAAACACAGCAGAGTCCAGTGAAGAAGAGTTTGCTTCTGATCAATATCGATCCAAAAAGAATATGTACATATCGTCCCGATACAGATCCTTAGGATTGGCTCAGAACATCTTGTTACAAAAGATTAAAACTACTGTAACCCAAGTTGTGCAATGTGTTGTGACAAACTCATGACTGAGGTGAAGTCCCCAAATAAAAAAAGCATGAAAAAGCTTTAGCTGCATATGTCTATGCTACGGTTGTCCTTAGTGATAATGTTTAATTTTGTTTTCAAGAGTGGCATCTTTCATTTAATAAAGATTATTCAAGTTTGGTGAAATTGAATACCTCCTATGCCTATTGTATATTGGGTCAGATATTAATAAATGCACACAAAAGTACTCTCAAATGTTTTTGTGATTTATAAATAAATGACTCCACAAAAATATTTTTCATAGCATACATGATAAAAGCGAAATCATTCATTTTAGGTTGGTACCCACAGGCTAGATCACAGGGAGCTACCACTTGCGTTATACCGGGTATATGCATTATAACATTTCAACCAAAAGAGTTGGACCATTATCGATCGGATTTGGCACACATGTGAACCGTGGATTAATAACTCAGTTTAACGTTAATCATTACGGAGTGAAATAGAGTTTTACTGATGAACGTTTCTAGCCAATATTCATTACAATATGCGATCAGGACACCATACTTGTCCAGGAGGATATTACTATGCATCAGCCACTAAACAGACCGACTGTAAAACTGCCATAACACAGCACCAAACAGTTTATTATGACCAAGCAACCACAAGACAACCCAGTTTAATGATTCGGTAATGCCATGAGTACATTGTACATCAGCAGCGTCATTAGGGACTCTTCCCTCCTCAAGCAAACCAGAAGCCTGCTTCATCATCGTATAATCTTGTCTTAGACAAGAAAAAGACATAGGCCAAACCAAAGAGGGTGATCAGCCATTCTACTGAGACAATTGGAAAAAAAGTAAACGGTGGAACACTTCCGTGACCTGACAAACATGTCAGGTCTGTAGTGAAAAAAAACTGCAGCTGCGTAGTGCTTCTTTTCTGAGACTATTTGATAAAGCAAGGCCTGTAAAACAGGCTCGGGGAGATTGTTTTGCCCTGCAGGTAAGAGCAGTACAGGAGGTACGGAGTGAGTGCAAGCTGAGACCTGAGGTTGTTTGTGGGTGAGAACAATGTGATCTGTAGACAGCCAAATGAGGAGCACCGTATCAAAGCTAAGGAGTTTAGTCCATCACTTTAACTTTGGTCTCGATGCCTCCATAGCTAAAATGTTCTTTCCTGAATGTACAATCTGAAAATAATCCATATTTCATAATAATGAGCATCGGAAATGAACAGCACACCGTTTCCTTCAGGTGTGCATTAGCCAATGAGTGAGAGAGCGGCTTCCTGGATTGTACCTACCTTTTCCCAGTGTCGTGCCCTGCTTCAGGTGCTTCCTGAACACCCGGAAAATCAACACATCCGACTTGAATCCAGGCACACATGTTGACGCCTTAGTAGTCAATAAAGATGAGGCCTAAGAGAAGAAAACAGCCTTTTTATTCATCATAATCCAGATGTATGGAAATGTGGAATCAGTAGGCTACAGGATAACTTTTTCAGTCGGATTTTGTTGAGGAAACTGTAAAATGGCATTCTGAGTGATTACACATCACTCAGCATTGGAGTCATCCCCAATTGAGGTGGATAAACTTGCCACCCAGGGAGTCATAGGGTCCAATCTGGGCTAACAAATAATTGCACTATGGAATTGAATAATCTCAATCATTTTTTTTATTGATCTATTAGTTTGGTCTATGTAATGTTGAAAAAGGTGAAACATGCCCATCAGAAGCACTGAGAACTCAAGGTGATGTTGTTGAATCGTTTTTGTTTTGGCCAAAGCTCAAAGAATATAAAATGATGTAAAACAGAGATATAACAGCAAATTCATATAAGAAATAAGCTTGAACTAACATATTTAATTAAGTAGCAATACAATTAATTATCAAAGCTGTTGCTCTAGGTCTATCAATAACTCTAAATCTAAAACTGTTAAAAAAAAAAAAAAAAAAGCTTGATTCAGTAAAAACTATAAATTCGCATATTATAAGAAACTATTTCCCGAAATGTTCACAGTATCATAGTAAAAGCAAATGCTGTGAAAAAATTGTAATGACAAATATGTGTTTGCAAGCAATCCCATCGAAAGAAGGTTTTTTTTCCACCATCGAAACATGTTGGAATTCAACCTGCCGACAACGTCATCAACGGAATTAGGGCGAGGCCCGTGGAGACCAAGCGGCTCCTCGAGGGGAGGAAGAATGAACTCTGAACGAGATTTAACGCTTCCTTGTGTCAAAGGGGTGACATATTTGTTAAGACATCGTTTTTAAATTACTTAATATGTTATACATCATTATTTAGGCCATCTGCAATTCAGTCGAAGCAGCCGAATTCAGTCGAAGCAGCGCTTATTAAAGTTCGACATTATCACCCGCCCCAACAACCGAACTCCTTTAAGTTAAATACAATGCAGAGCCGCGGCAAGTGTTGACTAACACAAATTGAGAGTACTGAAATAAAAAGCTACTCGGTGCAGAACCGAAAGTTTCGTCAGAAATAGTTTTCTAAAAACACCCAGTGTTTAATGAGATGTACAAAAGTAAGGTAACTAACGTCACCAGTTTATTTTTCGTTCTCTAAATCTAACACGAGAGAATGACAGAAATGCGTGGAAGAGTTAACGTGAAGAAATAATGAAGACAGGAAATCTCACCAGAAAAACGACGATTAAAATGCCCAAAACCGCGACCCGGCCGGTACCCATCTGTCTGTAAACCCTATTTCTATAGTCCTTGCAATGAAAGTAGAAAACCACTGAATTGCGAGGTGATTTTAAAATATATATTCCTTTGCGACTTTTCGTCGTGGCTTCTTTGTCTTCTCTCGTGAAGGTAGATTCAGTTACTGACTGAGTTCAGCTGGACGAGTTGCTGCAGGTACTTTCAGCGTGTGACGTCAGCCTACAGGTGCGCGGTTTCCGTGTTCCCGATATGGTCATACAGGCTGAACACACCTGTAGAGACAGATACCAGTAGTTTCTGTTACTTCCTGCTCATGAACAAGTAGCAGATAAAACACTGACAGCAGTTGTATTGACCAGCAGCTGTATCAGAGCTAAGTGAATAGCATTCTTCAACTTTCTGTCTCATTTCCTCTTACTGACAACCCCCGCTTTCTCTCTCTCTCTCTCTCTCTCTCTCTCTCTCTCTCTCTCTCTCTCTTCAGCTCACTCTCGCTTCTTATTTCTCTCTCTCTCTCTCTCTCTCTCTCTCTCTCTCTATCTCTTCAGCTCCCTCTTGCGTCTTCTTTCTCTTTCTCTCCCTCTCTTTCGCTATAGCACTCTCTCTCCCTCTCTCCTCTCTCTCTTTCTCTCTCTCTTTATCTCCCCCTATCTCTCTCTGTATCTCCCTCTCTCTCTTTAGTCTGCATACAATTGACAACACTTTAATATATATTGTCATATGTTATATGTATGTTATATATATATGTTATATATTATATATATAATATTGACAAAATATTTTCATATGGTGACATAAAAATCCAATTTTAAACTACCCTGTGGGATTTAAGATTTCAACTAAGGTCGTTCATAGACTGCTGTCAGGGTATGAAACCAGTCTCGGAAAACCAGTAGAAGTTTCAGGTTCCCCATTTTCATAGAGCTTAACGAGATCCTAACCATACACTGCCACGCACCATGCATTTCAGGCTAGATGTGATGTGTTTATTATTGCTGCTGTATTTACAGTACACCGTACACTGTTAGGCAGGACACTCCCATGACACACACAGACTGAAAAATGTTGTCAGGGAACTCAACTGCAACCAAAAGCTTTTTTTGACCTCTCTATTCAGTGTGTTTGAGTATGCAACATCATACATCATCATCAAAAATCATTTGCTAATAGACTGTACACAGAGTCTAAGAAATGTTTTTAGAGCACTTCTTCCATCCATCCATCTATTCTTTTCTTACCCTGACTGTGTGGACATCTGACTGTGACCTGATTTATAGTCAGTATCTACGGACTGCCCAGTAACTAGGCTTTGCCCCCCTCACAGGCAAAACCATTAGCTGATTCACAATAAGGCTTCATTTAATTTCTGACTTTATTATTATTTATTTACTCAGGCTTTTTGTGGATCTCAACTAAATATAAATGGACTAAAAATACAAACTGAATATAAATCAGAACAATCTCATCTCACTTGATGCTGCCATTGTTTTACAATTTACTTTTAAAGTAAAATTTGTGGCTTATTGACCACAACTTCAGTGGCTATAGCAAGATAGGTTTACACTACAGGGGTAAACAGCAAAGCATTTGGTAAATGGTGAATGGACTGTACTTGTATTGCACTTTTCTTCCGATCACTCAAAGCACTTTAACACTACATCATTCACCCATTCACACCCATTCATACACTGATGACAGGGGCTACCATGCAAGGTGCCACCTGCCAATCCGAACTATCTAATCATTCATACCCTTTCATACACCCACGGGACCAATTTGTGGTTGTCTTCCCTATCGACATGGACTAGCGGAGCCGGGGATCGAACCCGAACCAGATTTTATGAAGGACGACCCGCTCTAAAACTGAGTCACAGTCGCCTCCATGAAAGTGCTTTTGAATTGCAAATAATAGTTTTTTGTCCACCCGTGTTGACCATGTTGATCAGGCAACAAAACTACTCGGTTAGGGTTGGAAAAAAACTTGAGTGCTAGGGATGCAACGCCATGTGACTCGGTGACGTAGCGTCACATGATGTCATTGGTCAAAAAAAATAACTCCATCTTTGGTTTCACAAGAACGCCCCCCCACACACTCTTAAATATTCAGTTTACAATGATTTATCTAAGCTGCTAATCAACACATTAGACATGCTTGATGGCATTTTCTCAGTTTTTGCTTGAAATATTATTTCAAGCAAAGCTTAGCCATAAGCCTGACCAACTGACTTGTGACTGGATTTATTCAGTGTCAAGTGTGACAATATATCATGGCGAGACCCAAGAGGACGCCCCACAGAAACTCACTATTCCTCACCAAATCAGAGAGCCTCACAGAGATCAAAACTAATTGTGCATTCCGGCAGTCCTGAACCCGCAAACATTTCAAAGTTTAGGGTTGCCCTTAAGCTGCAGACAAAATATACAACATGGGCAACTTACTACTCAAAAACATAATGGACAACCACATTAGTGTGCAAGGTACTCTCCTTGTGTGCAAGGTACTCTCCTTGTGTGCAGTGGTTGACAATATACTGGCTGTATATCTAGGCTGCTAACAAGAGCCAGCAATATATTATGGGCCTTATCTCATGTAGCATTAACTTATCGTTTTCATATTAGTTTGTGGCACTTATTGCATTCGTTTGTTTCTGCACTGTAGCCTACATTGGCGCTGGTTTATGCTCTTAGATGCTTGTTTGAGGAAAGGACATGCACTTACTGGTGACTAGTTGTTCTCTCGAAAACCGATGTTGAATACACCTATTGTAAGTCGCTTTGGATAAAAGCGTCTGCTAAATGACTGTAATGTAATGTAATGTTATATAATTTGAGGCCAACACACAGTGTTCAGGCTAGCCACAAACAGGGATTATACTGCCTTACTAACTAACGCCTGGGAACAAGCGAAAGAACACTTGCTAATATTGTCAGCATCATAAGAAAAAGAACAGCAATGAAGCAAACAAAAAACACTGTCTGTATTAAAGTATTTAAAGCCAGAGTAAATGCCAACACAAAATCTTTAAACATTTACTGTTGATGGAACTAGCCTGCATTTTTCCTCTTCCTCTTAGCAATGCTAATGCTAGCTAAAAGAATTTACCAATAATTCACAACTTTATTTGTGATGTTAACAGAAGAATTTCTCAGCTCCACAGAAGTTTAGTGTTGAATCCTATCTATGTATATGTTATCAGTTTTTTTAAAATGATGATTACTGATAAGTATGATCTTGATATAACTTTAGCTAGGTTAGCCTTGTAGCAGGATGTAGCTTAGGTCCTTGCTAATGTTTGTTAACTTTATGTTGGAGAAAGATTTTTTACACTGCTTCAAATATCATTCCCTGGAATTTTTGATTATAGATAAAAGCAGTTAAAGCAGTAAATCCTAATTTACTTACACTGAGTATCAGGCAGTCTCAAGAGCAGGTAATGTTAGCTTCTGTGTTGTTGCTTTGGAGTTAGGGGCAACTTTTTTTTCTCAAATCATTGAGAGAACAAAATGTCACAATGTCAAATGTTCATATTTTACTGTATCACAGAGGGCTAAAATATTAGAAATAAACAGACAATAAATAACATAAACTATTGTTTTTAAATTTATTGAGATAGGCCGAGGACTATCGTAATTTAGATATGTACTCTTTTCATAAATGAGATAGGGCTTGTGGTTTTGTTTATTATTTTCAATATTTTATTGAGCACCAGGGTCTTTGGTCTCGGATTCCTTTATTTTTCTTTGCTGAAATTGGAACTTAGCTACATTCATTTGAAGCTAGTCCTGATTAAAGCGCTGTGCCTGGAGCACGTGTAATAGTGATAATCGTTACCCGGAGAGGTTGGAAGGAGATATATATTTTTTGAAGTAGTTACATTACATTTCTGCGGATATACCTGTGGAGCTAACATTAGCAGAGTACAGCACATTAACACTTCAATGTTATGCTAGTTACCGAAGGTTATGCTAGATACCGAAGGTAACAACAATCAATTGTAAAACATTCATTTTAAGTGTCCCTTCCATTAAAGACATAATAAAGTCTATAACATAATCCTCTACAGCTTCAGAGTGAATGAACATGAAAGATGGGGGACTTTTCAAAAAAGCAATTAAGAGATGTTATCTTTTGCTCTTCCCCTCATCAGTCATCCATCCTTCCCACAGAAGGACAGAGGGAAGTGGGGGCAGAAGAAGAAACACTGGTCAGTTTACAGTGGCCACCACTTAGCCAGTAAAAAGGGTCGATGTGGGATAGAAAGGGAGCGAGGGAGAAAAGAGGAGGAATGAAGGAGTGAAGGAATAGGGCAGGAGTGGGAGGAAGGCAGCAAGCAGTGTCAGATTACATTGTTTGTTGAGTTTGAAGAGCGATACACTACCTTATGTGGGACTATGGGTGTAATCAGGACTTTAATGTCTACGTGTATAATTTTAGTATTTGTCACATTTTAGTTTTTGGTTGACTGAAGTTCTTATGGACAATAATTGAGCCTATTGTAAACAGGGCTAGACGCAAAACTGGGCTTGCTAGTGGGGTTCATTAGCAATGGGTACTAATAGCCATGACTGTAATCGTCATGTTAACATCAGGGTATTCAGGGTATGATTAAGCCACAATCACTGAGTGTTGTCGTTTAAAAAAATATGTTTTTTTCAATAGCTACGAACAGTCCCTCCATCCATGAAAGTTAACATTAACCATAACTGGGACCATATTAGCCGAACCCTACGCTGCTGGCCAACTACATCCCCGTGAGGAGAGCAGATGGGAGTGTCAGTAACCGATTCTTCCCAGCTGCCAGATCCGTTCTGTCATGTGCTGGACATGACAGTATGTCTTGTATCCAGTATGTCTTGCGCGAAGACCCACCCCTACTCTGCCTGATTGGCTAGAGGCTGTTAAACACTAACATTAGCCTATGATCTTAACTGGTGCTTCGAACTAGACAGGCCTGGGAGGAGCGGTTCAGCCCCGCCAGCTCAGGTTTTTGTTTCCCTAGTCCGAAGGTAGACTTCCTGGTCCGAACTATAGTTTGTTTTTTTACAATTTTCGTAAACTATTTCAACATTTCCGATCATTTTTTAAGCGAGAAATCAACTATGTATATTTTGCATGTTGGCTGTTTTTCTGAAAGAAATCAATATTATAGATAATATAATTATGAATTATTATTATGACATGATTATAAATTATTATATTACTATAGGCTGGTGCCGTGGTCCGCTCTATCTCCGCTCTTTTGCCTTGCAGGTTCATCTGCAACCAGTTGACCTTGAGTGTCCCTGCCCGGAATGTAGTCAACAAAATTCCTGGAGAAAACAGAGACATTACTGATCCTGTTGAACCTTTAAGACATCACAGGTGTCATCCAGTTAATTTACCAATAGTGCACAG